TCCCTATAAGTTTGAATTTTTTTTTTCCAGAATGAGTTTAAAAAATTTAACTTAAGATCAAAAGGGGAAAAAAATAAAGCTAAAGGGATAAAAGTCCCCTGTTACAGATAATGAAACAGAAACACAATATAATGGCTCAAAGTTACAAAGAGAGTTACTGGCAAAGTCAAGATTCGTTTATAGTTCAAGTGACTCATCTATTCAATACAATTCCAAAAGATAATTTCAATACAGTTTTCATATAATGTCACTATTTAATGCCAGAGACAATTGGCATACACCATGGGATCTCAAGAAAACAGGAAAAAAAAAAGGTGGCACTAAACAAAAAAAATTGTGTACACAGTTGATTCATTTTTGCCTTCACAATAAGGAAGAATCGAAAGCAAACATATTATTTTCTTGATTGTTCGAGAGACAAGAATATCCTTACTCTCCTAAATTGTGCCTTCTCCAACATCTTTAGGAATCCTCTCCTCAGGTCATTCTAGATTTCTGAATACAAATCTGCACTCAATTTGACTGACTCCACCCCACTGGCATTCATTCATTCACTTAACACAGGTTTCCCGAGCCTCAACCAACTGCTGGGCCCACTTCTCCTTCAACAGAGACATAGTAGTAAAAAGTCAAATTCCCTGCCTCACAAAGCTTGTGTTCTAATGGGGAAGACAGACAACATACAAATAAATAAAAATGTAATATATATAAACACTATAGCACAAATTTTAAATGAAAAACGATAAATTTTTAATTTACTTATTAAGGGGACAAAGCCACAGAAGGAAGGGTACACCTCTCCAAAAAGATAACATTTAAGCAGAGACATGAAGTAAGGGAGACACAAGAATGTTTGAAAAAAGGGAAAAACAAAAACCGTAATGGGGACAGGAGGGTAAGGGTGGAACAAATCCAGCATGTTGGAGATCCCAAAACTTACTTTACTATATGTGGAGAGTTGATCCTTTAGGCTCTGGCAATGCAACATGGTTCCAAGGGCTACTTGCTGGACCAACTGTTGAAATTTTAGATTTCTTGAAACAAAATCTGTCTCACAATTTACCTGCAGGAATGAATTGATATTGCTGTATAAGCTGTTTACTGATGGTTTCCAAAAGTGCCTTAAGGTTGGAGAGTAAACCAAGGTATTGACAGAACAAGCTGTAGATTCAACAAAGCAGATATAAATGACCCTAGCCCTGGCCAGCCTGGCTCAGTTGGTTGGACATCATCCCGCAAAGTGAAAGGTCTCCAGTTTGATTCTCAGTCAGGGCACATGCCTGGGTTGTGGGCCAGGTCCCTGGCTGGGGCACATGCGAGGCAACCAATCAATCTCTGACACATTGATGTTTCTCTCCCTCCCTTCCCTCTCTTTAATAAAAAGTAATAAATAAAATCAAATTAATAAATATCTAAAACAAAATTTTAAAAAAGAGAGAACCCCAGAATTTTAAATCTGCAGCTTCTCCCCAAGCTAGAGGCCAAAAACTGAATGAACTGATTCCCACTGTGTCCCTTAATTAGCAATGACCTGCACATTCAAAAGATGGTTCCATCATGTCCCCAAAGGACTCACTACAAGTTTGCCACTTGCCTGCGGCTACATGCCATAATCGACTTATTCTCCAGCCTCCACCAACTACAAACCAGTTTTGTTATCAGCTTATTTTATCTCCTTCTCTCACTCTAAACTCTAATCCACCCTTCTGATTTCATCATCAGTTGTGGCCCCGAAACCTCTACAACAGCTTTTCTCTATCCATCAACTAATGAATACAATTCCAGCTTTACAATCAAACTGGTCCAGGAAACAATCAGTGACAAGGTATAAGGCTACACCAAACTCACATTTAGGAGTGCTATTCTAGACTGCTAGTCTTTTTCTCATCAACACAGACATGCATTTCTAAACTTGAATCCACAGCTAATACCCGTGGTCTCATGGGTTTAACTCAACTACCCTTTATGGTTCTCAAAAACCTCTTCTTTAAGAATGCAGAGAACCCTGACCAATATGGCTCAGCTGGTTGGGTGGGGTCCCGCAAAAGTGAAAGGTTGAAGGTTTGATTCCTGGTCAGACCACATGCCTGGGTTGCAGGTAAGGTCCCCAGTTGCGGCATGTACAAGAGGCAACTGACTGATGTTTCTCTCCCTCTCTTTCAATCTCCCTTCCCTTCTCTCTAAAAATAAATAAATAAAAAATTTTAAAAAAAGGCAAAGAGTATACCACAAAGCCTTACAACGAAGGGACAGCTGTTCCTGCTTTCTGGAATTCCACAACTCACCTCTACTAACACAGTCGTGTTTCCTTCCTGGAGCAGCCCAATCAGGCCTTCTTTAGTCTTCCTGCCATGGAGCTTGGCAGCTTTGCTCCAGCCTTCCTTCTGGGCCTGTTCATGGAGCCAGCTCTCTGCCTATAAATTGAAAAGAAACAGGACAGATGGCAAAGTCACAGAGCTTAGAACCGAACAGAACTCTAAAATATGTTCAGGTCCCCTAACTCTTTCTGCTTCTCCTCAATTCCATAATAGAAACTGAAGTAATCTATCATTTACTGGCAGCCTATCACTGAGTGCCAAATCGTGTCTGGTGCTTTGGATAACCTTAATCTTCACAACAACCTTATGGAGCAGATACTAGTATTTTCATTACATACACAAGAACAATGCACCTCTCAAAGATTAAGTAAGGTGTCCAAGGTCACAGGGTTAGTGTGAGGGCACCATGAGTTTAGTCCTGGTCTATCTGACTCCAAAGCTCACACAGTCCTTTCAGCTCCAAGCAGCAGGAAACAGCACTGCAGTTTGCCAGATGGAGTAAGGTTAACCCTGGGATCCGGAGTCAATCGCTTCCTCATTAGACAGAGTCAAAGGCTGAGGCGGTCATTTCGGTCAGAATCCTACCTAGAGGTGGGCCGTTTATGAATACTGCAGCGCGGCCTCCCTAAGAAACAGATCGGCCCTACTCCCTTCCCCGCCTCCCACACACCTTTTTGAGATCCCCGCCACAAGTCTCCAGAGCTTTCTTGCAGTTTACAAAGGAATAGCCCGTTTTTCGCCGCAGCTTCATGAGGAGCTCCTTGCTGGAGGCCGAGGAAGACAGCCAGGGCCCCGCGTGAAATGTGTGCCATGGCTGGGGCGACTGAAGCGGAAGGGGCCCTGCCTGGAGGGGGCAAGAAGAGAGGGATGAGAAGCAGAACGCAGAGAGGCCCTCCAAGGCAGAAAGTAAGTGCGCGTGGAGGCGACCTCAGGAGGGACTGGGGCTCTGGACGTGGGGAAAAAGCAACGCGCGGAACCTGGACCGCGAGGAGGCAATGAGGGAGGGGGGAAGGGTGGGACGGAGTCCGAAAAGGGGTCGGAGGTCGGGGTGCACGGGAGACCTGCAAGCAAACCAGGTCGCTGCAGGGACCAAGACCCTTCACGGGGCAGCTCCCGCTCCGCGGGACTAGGCAGAAGCGCAGGGACCGTAACAGCGACATCTCCCCGGCCACCGCAAAGTGTGCGGGGCCGGCACGCCAATGAAGCCACAGGCCTACGGCGTGGCGGCAGGGCCAAACCTCTCCACCAGAATGTGTCGAACGAGGCTATCGCCACCTGCTGGCCGGAGGGAGCACGCCCTCCTCCGCCACGCGGCTTATTGAGAGGGCAGACGGAAATGCTCGCAGGTGAAATAGGAAACAATGAGACAAAGTCGTCACAAAATAACAACACGAGACACGTAGTAACACTTTGTTTCTTTATTTCCAATACTCTTTAATATTCATTATCCATTTATGACCCAGGACAAAATTGTGAGGTAGGTGAGTGGGTTCAGAAATTTGCCAAAGGTTACTTAGGGAGGTAGGGGTTCAGTCCCTTCAACAAACCCAATAAATTATTTGTTGAATGAGCAAACTGTGGAACACTACGGTCTGCCAGGAACTGTGCTAGGCTTCAGGGAATTAGAGATAAGCGAACGACAGCCCAACCCTCCAAGGTAATCTAATGGTGAGAAAATAGGGAGCAGACCTGGCTACACAAGATAAGGTAAATCTCATAAGATCAACATTTCTTTCTCAAAGGAGAAAGAAATCACATCTGAACAGAAGGCCCAGAAAAAGCTTTTTTTAGGATAAAGACTAAGAGTAATGAAGATTCTGACAGATAGAAATAGCCCTTTCAGGGAGGGAATTATCAAAATGAATGAAGAAAGAAGTCAGGGAATCTTGGTGTAGATTTAGGGAACAAAGAGTAGACCTTTTGTAATTTGGCCCAAGGTTGCAATACATTCTGAAAATCAGTAGGAAATGAAGTAGGGGGTAATTTGGGATTACACAGGATAGACTGAGTAGCAAGCAGAGGAGATTATTCTTGCTTCTGTAGGCAGCAGCAGAAGCTAATCAGGACTGATTTTAGAAAATCGTAAGAGCTGGAGGCCAGGAGGCCAGAGGAAGGGATACGTTTCCCAAGGACTAAGGATAGTCCCAACCAGAGTTACTACAGTGGGAAGAGAAAAGAGGTGAAGACAAAACACACTGGGAAGGAAGAACTGACAGGACTTGGAAACCTAGATAAAAATCAAAAGAACAACCTAGTACTTAGTGATCAGGGCCCCAACTCCAAAAAGCATGAAGAAGCCACATGCCAAAGGATAGCTCTGCTGCCTATCCCCAGCTTCAGGCCTGGGAGGACTTGACGCAGCTAGAGCCATGCTCCCAACAGACCATCTCTAGGAGCAAGAAGTGGGTGGTCTAAGACTTCTTACTTCCCAGCACCCCAACAAAAGCCTGAGTTCTTTGGATGGAGAAGAGATCTTTAATGCTCATGTTTCTTTCCATTTAAAAATATTCCAGTAGAGCCCTGGCCGGTGTGGCTCAGTTGGTTGGAGCATCATCCTGTAACCAAAAGACTGCAGGTTCAATTCTCGGTCAGGGCACATACATAGGTTGTGGATCCAATCCCCAGTCCAGGGGCATACTATCCCTGGTCCAGGCACACACAGGAGGCAGCCAATCATTGTTTCTCACATCAGTGCTTCCCTCTCTCTCTTCCTCTCTCTCTAAAATCAACAACAACAAAATGTCCTTGGGTGAGGACAAAAAAAATCTTTTCTGTATAAAAAGACAACAGCAGGACTGGAAGTGATCAGTGATGGTCGCTCTGCAACCACTGCTCTCACATCCCATTTACCTTCCCTTCCCCTACTAAAAACCCTGGATACCCTCGATCATCCTTTGCTGAGAACACGAGCTGGGAACTTCCCTTATGCTCTAACCCAGTGCTGCTAGAGCTCGAGGATTCCTAGCAAGCAGGCACCTCCCTGCACCAACCCAAGAGTATCTGGGGGAACTAAGAGGGAAGGAGGAAAGAGAGAAGCAAGGGAAATCCATCCTTTTTGGTCCTTATGTTTCTGGCTTTGGAGATATGGCTGTTCCTTCATTAGGACAAGGGACTCAGAGAAGAAGAAGAAGGGTAACATCAAGCAGGTCTTGGTTCCCTGTGCCTGGCCCTATAGATGTTGACATTTTCATCCTCATCCCGCTGGGCCAGCTCCAGTTGGAAATGCTGGGGCAGGAGGTGCTGAAAGAAGCTCTCTGTCCCATGCTCGTCTCTCATCTTGGAGGCCAGATAGATGGTGCCATGAGGCCCACACAGGTGTTGGAGGGTCCCCAGCAGCAGTGGGAAGGTGGGCTCCAGATACACGATATCAGCCCCCAGCACCAAGTCATAGTCGCCAGGGAAGACATGCTGATCAATCCCCCAGGACAAGGCACGGACCCGGGCCCGGCCTCCAGCTGGCACATTGGCCTGGACGTTGCCCTGGATCTGTTCTAGGGCCAGGGGTAGGTCGGTGATGGTAACATCCCCCCCTGAGAGAGAGGAAGGAGAAGAAATGCAAGTCAGAGGGACCAACAAAGGGGTCTCGGCTCTTGCCCAGAAGGTCCAGAGGCCTCAGGGCCTAGAGGACAATGTCTTGGCAGACCAAAGTCCACCCTTTGGCTTTTAGTTGCCCTAACCTCCATCTTACCCACTGCCATTCTCATTACTCTACATTCTACAATAACAACATTCTCTCTGAGCTAATCTTCAACCCTTCTGCTCAAAACACAACAATCATATGTCAGCAGAAGCCTGGGAGGCACTAAGCTGGAGATGGGCTATGCACCCACCCCGCACTGACACAGACCAGGCTTCGGGATTCTGGAAAGCTTCCCAGAAGACATGACCTCAGTGAGCCTTAAAGGCTAAGTCAGAGTTAGTCAGGTGGAGCTTTCCAAGCAGAGAACAAAGAATATAAAGGCTTGGTGGTGAGACAGCATGGAGTATTCAAGGAAGGCTGGATCTTAGATAATGTGGAAGGGAGGAGAAAAGTGTAAAGACATGAGAGTAAAGAGAAAAAATGTTTAGGACATGCTAAGGAGACTCAGGCGTGATGCTGAGAACAATACGTTTTAAATGGAGAAGCAGGGGGTGAAGATGATCAGATTAGTATCTCAGAAAGTTTCATTCATGCAATAAATACATGTACTGAGCATCTATGCTCTGGGGATATAGTGGTAAGCAAGGTAAAACCTCAGCCTTCCCAGAGTTTTATCCTAGAAATAGAGACACACGAAGTGCTGCAAAACTCTTTAATCATAACAATGATGGCCATTAAGAATTCATTCATTCATATTTATTATGTGCCTATATGCTAGGTGCTGAGAATACAGCAGTAAACCAATCTATATGAGAACCCCTCTGTTCATGGAACATACAGACTACTGACAAGAAAAGGACAACAAAAAAACACATAAAATACACTGTACATCAGATGGTAATAAGTGCTCTTTTGAAGGAAGCATCAAGCAGGGAAGGAAAGTAAGAACTGCTTGAGGGACAGGCAGGGGATATAGTTTTAAATGGGATGGTTAGGGAAACCCTTACTGAGGCGCTACATTTGGCAAAAAACCCAATGGAAGTGGTGGAACAAACCATGTGGATGTCTCAGGCTAAAATATACCAAACAGGGGACCACCGAGTGCAAGGACCTTGAGGCAGGAGTGTGCCTGACAGGCCTGAGAAGCAGCAGGAAGGCCTGTGGCTGGAGCAGAGTAAGTGGAGGAGATAAAAGGGAGGGCCAGATCCTAACCGGGGCCTTTTCAGGAGACCGTAAGAGAGCTGGCTTTTAGTCTGGGTGAGATAAGAATGAGGGACCGCTTGGGAGTGGGTGCAGACAGAAAAGGGAAGGACTCACAGCACACTCCTGAGCCCCAGGGCGCTCAAACTTTCAGTTGTGAAAATGGAAAGAAACCAACAAAGGAGAAGAGAAAAGAGTGCCAGCGAGGTGGGCAGAAACTAGAAGTGTGATACCCTGGAAACCAAAGGAAATGCTTCAAGGAGCAAGGAGTGTCAACTGCTGTGAAGTTAAGAAAGGAGGGCTCCTAACTGACCCCTGTGTTTGACCACATGGAGTTGGAAGGGAAGCTCACAGCTTTGACCAGAACAGCTGGAGTGGATAGGACATGGGATGAGGGACAGGGTTGTCTACTTGAAATGGATTGAGGAAAGAAATGGATTGAGGAAGCTAATCTTCAATCCCTTAAGAGGGGAACTCTTAAGGGATTTTGCTGTAGAAGAGAAATGGTGTGGTACCTGGAGGGATATGCAAGATGTAAAGTTTTTCTGAAATAGGAGAAATTACAGTATATTTATGTGCATTATACACACATACATACGGAATGATCAGAGAGAAGGAAAATCTGATAATGCATGAGAGATGTGGGAGGAGAGGTGTTTACTAGAACAAGTCTTGGAGTAGATGTGAAGGTTTGATTTCTCTTGACAAATGGAGGGCTTTACCTTAGCCAGGAGCATAGCATTCATTCATGGTACACACACAGCAAGAGAGAAGGCAGCACCCAGAGACCCAAACGCAGTTAGGTGAGTAGAGGTTCTGATAGGAACATGTGGTCTTATTCTATAAGAAAATAGAAGCAATCAGAAGAGTTGGAAACAATATACCATCTGAGGGTAAAGACAAGGAAGGGAGCATTTGGAGGTTTGAAGGCTAAGAAGGTACAAATCAGATGTTTAGGAGAGGAAAATAAGTGAATGAGGGAGGTGGAATAGGCTAGCTGGGTAGCACTTAAGAGTGCACCTGAGGTTAGTAACAACAAATTTAAAATGAAACCAGTCAGCACAGTGGTGTATATATGGAGAGGGCCCAAGGTAGCCTGGAGTGGCAGTGTCCAGGAGGCCTTCCCTTGGAAGTGGTGTATGAGCTGGGCACTAAAGGATGCATATGTATTAACCAGCTGGTACAAGGATTTCAGACACCAAGTGCAACCTGTGTAAAGGCTCCAAGGAAGGGAACATCAAGATAGACTTGAAGCCCTGGCCGGATAGCTCACTTGGTTAGAGCATCACCCCGACATGCCTAGGTTGTGAGTTCACTATCCAGTCAGAGCACATACAAGAATCAACCAGTAAATGCATAAATGGGTGGAACAATAAATTGATGTTTCTCTCTCTCTCCAAAATAATTAAAAAAAAGATAGACTTAAAGAAGTGAAAGAAGGGTAATAGGTAGCACAAGGCATACAGGAAGGGGAGGGAGAGGCACAGAAAGAGGCTAGAAAGGGAGGCAGCGCCTTATAGGCTATGCTAAATGCGTTGGTTCTATCCTGAAAGCAACAAGAAGCTACTGAAAGATGGAAGTGGCGGGTTATTACAGTTACACTTTTAAAAGATCAGTCTGACTGGCGGGTGGAATGGGCAGAGGTCTAGGCAGTGGCAAGGAGTCGAAGCAGGAAGACCAGTTTGACTAACTGTGGCAGTTTAGACAAATAATGGTGGTGCCATGGACTGGACAGTTGTCGGTGTCAACGAAAAAACATGAGATCTAAGAGACTGTTAGGAAATAAAATCTGTAGGACCTGAATAATGGATATGGGATTGAGAAAATGAGATGTGTCAAAGAGGATGTCTAGGTTTTCCAGTAGGCAGTGGTTTGATTCACTGCGATGGGGAAACCTGAGGAAGTCTGGGGGGGAAGGTCAAGTTTGGGCATACCAAACTTCCCCATCTGAAAGCGCTAATAAAAATCCAGGGAAGAGATGGCCTGACCTAGAGATGGTGGGAAGAGTAGACAACTGGGGAAGCATTAAGGACACATGATCCATAGGACTGGCTGATAGTTAGGATGGGAGGAGAGAGGTTAAGATACAAGATGACAGTCAGATTTCTGATCTGGCAGCTGAACAGGGGTCAAAGGAGGAGAAACCAGCCTAGGAGCAAGTGAAAGTAGGTGTTCCCAACCATGTCACTTGCCCTTCTCCCATTTTAGCATGACTGCCCACCAATCATGCATCCATCCTTTATGGAAAACTACTGTTGACACTCCTTCAGTTCTTCCTCAGCCTGCTAGAGTTCAGTGTTCACCTCTTTCCCTTCTGACAGAGCTCCTCCTTAGATTCCAAGGAGTCAAGGGAGACATGGCCAAAGTATGTCCACTGACTCTGTGCATACCTCACCAGAGTCCTTGTCCTGTACCATCTGCCCTGTCTTCCCCACTAGACCGTAAGCTCCTTGGTGAGACGAAATCTGTCTTATATTATAATACCAAGCATGACTCCTGGCACATAGAGAATTCCAAATACATGTTGGTTGAATGAATAGAAGAACGAGAAAATCCTGCTTCTGGGAAGGTTTCCCTGAATGTTAACCTAGTCGTGTCTCTCCAAACAAGGACATGTTAATTTGCGTTTCTAGAGAACTGACATCGTAAGTGTTTTTAAATGAATGTTTCCCCTGTAAGGTTTTGCCTGACTATCAGATTATAAATTAAGGAACTGTTTCCTTTGTAGTTTTTGGTTCTTGACAGAAAGTGAAGAAAAGTTTTTCTTACCTTCTCCTTTCCCAAGTGTGCAGTGAGTGCCCAATTCTACCCCACTTCCCACAAAACACATCCTACCCCTCATAAACTCTTAAGCTTTCTTTCAAGCAATCAAAACCTTAAAAATCTAAAAAATACTCATAATAAAGCTATAAAGCCCTCATAGGGTTTAATACCCGCAGGTTACTTCCCCTACAAGGTACCCCCAAATATACATCTTGCCAGAAGACCATGTCCAAAGCAAAGGAGTTTTTAAGTGACAGTATTGTCCTTGAAATCACAAAAAGAAAAAAGGTAGGAAAAACTCCTTCTGTTAAAGTCTACCAGGTGTTTATAACCTGTCCCCAAGTCAACCACCTTGGGTGCTCTGACAGCCAATGAGCCCTGCCTTCCTCACGAAAGCAGGCGAGGGGGGCGCGGGGGGGGGGGGAGAAAAGTTAAAAAAAAAAAAAAAAAGGTACTGGGCTGGTCCCAAATCATTCCCCTCTCCGAAGAATCCAGGAATGACAATTTCTCCACATCTCCGTTCCCCCGACCCTCTCCCGCCACAAAGCTCACGCACCCTGCAGCGCCGCCAAGATCCCCACGATGCCGGTCCCCGCGCCCAGTTCGATCACCTTCTTGTCTCGGAAATCCACATTTTGATTTTCGAAATAGTTGCACAGGGTCAGAGCCTATAGGAGAAAAAGGGAGGAGGGGGAAACAGTCGCGGGGAAGCTCCATATGGCAAAGGGAGAGTCCGGGGTCTGGACCTCCCCGCGGACCCTCGCCCAGGGCCACCCACTCCTCACCGCATCCCACACGCGCGCTGCCACCCCAAGGCGGGACCCGAAGTTCTGTGTGATGCTCAGTACGTGCCCACAGAAACAGAACAGGCTCTTCTCCGAGTAGGAGTCGGCGAAGAGCCCGACCTCCCGCGGGAACACGGATTCGGCCTCGGATGCAGGATCCGGACGGAGGTCCCCCATCTGGCCCAGAGAGCTCCGGACGCCGGGGCCAGCCCTGGGATCCCAGATCTGGAGCGGGATGGGGGTTGGGGACCTCGGGCCGTCTCGGCTGCCCCGTGGCACCGAGCCCCGCCTCCCCGAGTTTGCACTCCTTCCTCCAGTTTGACTTCCTGGAGGTGGAATGAGGAGCTACCCCTCCCGCTCCGGTCCCCAGCCCACACCCGACAGGTCACACTCCAGACCACGCAAGTCAGACCCGGCAGTCCGGTCCGAGACCGGGAGAGAGGGGAGCGACGCCAAGATTAATTCTACTGTAGGAGGTGTTGTCCTCAGACCCCTTTTACCTGCGTAATGCAAGCGTTCCTGTAACCAGGGTGGTAACCCCGACTGGCCCGACGCAGGCTATGGAAAGAGGTTGGGTGCCGGTTCCAGCCGAATTACAGACTTAAGGAGCGGAGGCACCTTGCTGCAACTGGACCCCTCGGGTCCTCCCCGCTCAGCCGCGTGGAATTCTCTCCTGGGTCTTTAAGGGGTGGGGTCTGTCTGCTGCGTCATTATCGCGCGCCGCAGGCCCCGGTCTCCACGTGGGTTCGGTAGGGAAACTCGGGCAGAGGATCATGGCGGGAGCCGAGGCCCCGCAGCCGCAGAAGCGCTACTATCGGCAACGTGCTCACTCCAACCCCATGGCGGACCATACGCTGCGCTAGTGAGTGAGCAGGGCAGGGGGCAGGAAGAAGGGCGGAATACTCAGAATGGCCCAGAGCGGCCCGGGCGAGCAGTCTTGCTGGGACGGTCTGGAAGGCTCAGGATAGACCCGGGAGGAGCGGCTGAGTGCAGTCAGTTTCCGGAGTAGGTTGGATCGGGTCTGGTCGATTTGGCGGTGGGCGGGGCTGGAGGGGGCGTGGCGTTCTGGCACCGTCTAGGTGGCGGTGGTAGTCTGGCTGGAAAAAGGAATTGTTACTGAGATTAGAGTAATGGCGGCAGAATGCCGTTTACATTTTAAGGTTTCCTTTGTCGGATTTAACTAAAAAACAGACACCCAATCCCACCCGCACCTTACTCCATCCTCTTCGCACAGAGCACGTAAACAAAGCTAAGATCCTAGTGCCTTAAACAGCCAGTCTCTTAGAGAAGAGGAACTTGCGTCCCAGAACTTGTGCCCAGCCAGTCACAACAACCTCTAGTTAAGGAGATGGGCGGGTCTGCAAATCATCCGCCTCATGATGGGCCTGTGATTCACAGGGTGGTTTCCACTTTGTCTCCTAGAGGCTACTAGACCCACTGTTACAGAATTTTTGAGAAACCCTCCCATCTGCTTCACACCCTTACCATCCACCCACGCACATGTAGTACCACTTCTGCAATGGTATGGCCATTCTTCTCATGTTTTGCACGTCTTCTCTCCAACAGCCCTGTGAAGCCAGAGGAGATGGATTGGTCTGAGCTATATCCAGAATTCTTCCCTCCACTAACTCAAAATCTGAGCCACGATGACCCAAAGGATAAGAAAGAAAAGAGAGCTCAGCCCCAAGTGGAGTTTGCAGACATAGGCTGTGGCTATGGTGGCCTGTTAGGTAACATTCTGTCTGGCCCTTTCTCTGGGTGAGGAGAGGCAGTGCCTAGGTTCTGCCACCTCAGCAGTTTGGTGGGGGCCATAGTTGACCTTTTCCCTTCGGACCAGACACTGGTACTATGACATCAGTGTGGAGTGTCTCCACCTTCCCTCTACTCTGGGTCTGTGGCCTTTGCCCTGGAGAAGGGAGGGGGCTGCCTCAAATGCCTCTTAGAACTTGGGTTGTCCAGTCTGGCCTTGCCCCTGGCTCTAGTCACTACATGCGCCATTTCACCTGCGAAGTGCCAGGTCAGTGAGCTGGTAAGCACAAACGTCAGAGATTAGCCTCTGTGGCCAGTGATCCTGAACTGTTTTTCTCAGGGATTCCACCACTCCTCCCTTCCTCACGAGAACTCATTCCTTCTGCTCTACTCTCTTGTCTTTGAATTCCCCTTGTATTCTCTATATTGTCCCAGACATGCTTGCTGAACCATTTCTCTATTTTAAGATCTCCCCAAAGAGATGAGGGCATGACAGAGATGAAGAGTGTGGTATTTGGTGGCAGGAACTTTGGTTCAATTTCCAATTCTGTCTCTTAACTCTATCACCTTACACATTTCTGACCCTCAGTTTCCTCATGTTCACAATTTACCATAGGGTGCCAAGAGGATTAAATGAGAGAATGTGTAAAAACACTAAAGCACTTGCAAATATATGTGTATTCCCAGGCCCTCCCACTTCCAGTCCTGGTGACAGTTTTTGGATCTCTCCCAGCCTTCTCCAGCATAGAACTATCCGTATAGACTTTTCTCTGTCCACACTTGCCATTCCTGATTTTGGTGGTTGGAAATTCAGGTTTCCTTTCCTGTATTGACTCCTTTGAAGTTCCTGCAGTAAGAGGTTGATTATTCCATTCCTATTTCTCTCCCTAGTGGAACTGTCACCACTGTTCCCAGACACGTTGATTCTGGGTCTGGAGATCCGGGTAAAGGTCTCAGACTATGTCCAGGACCGGATTCGAGCCCTACGAGCAGCTCCTAGAGGTGGCTTCCAGAACATCGCCTGTCTCCGTAGCAATGCTATGAAACACCTTCCTAACTTCTTCTGCAAGGGCCAGGTGGGGAGGGGCCCTGCGGGGTTAGACTGATAAGAAGGTGGGACATGGAGTCCAGGCTCTCACAACCCAGTCGACACATGTCTGTCTCACAGCTGACAAAGATGTTCTTCCTCTTCCCTGACCCACATTTCAAGCGGACAAAGCACAAGTGGCGAATCATCAGTCCCACACTGCTAGCAGAATATGCCTACGTGCTGAGAGTTGGGGTGAGTTGGTAGTGGGAGGGTAGGTGGGATGAGTGATCTCTTTAGGGACCTTCCAATAAGAATTCAATGGGAGTACCTCCCATTACCTCGCCGCTCAATTGCATGCAGCCCCTCCCCCTCCCCCGATTTTGTCTATTCAGGGGCTAGTATATACTATAACCGATGTGCTGGAGCTACATGAATGGATGTGCACCCATTTTGAAGGGCACCCCCTGTTTGAGCGCGTGCCTCTGGAGGAGCTGGTAAGTTGAGGGTCTACGGGAAATTGTGAAGATACAGGCCCATTCCAGAGTGGTTCTATGTTCTTTGAACCCAGCTCAGTGCCCAGAGGATGGGATAAGAGTCTTGGGGCCAGGAGTGAACAAGGACTTACTGGACCCTTCTCCCAGAGTGAAGACCCCATTGTGAGACATCTGGGCACCTCGACCGAGGAGGGGAAGAAAGTTCTACGCAATGGAGGAAAGAATTTCCCAGCCATCTTCCGAAGAATACAGGATCCCACCCTCCAGGCGATGACCCCCAATCCTACCCCTCCTGGTCACTGACTGCTTACCTTGCTTTATCTGGACTCCGTATTCCAGGAACTAGAAAGAAGATCATCCCCCTGGACCTTCCCAGCTGAGACTGTTGAGGCTTAGCAGCAATAGTCTCTCAAAGAAGTTGGGGAACTGCCCAGGGAAGAACCCTGGTTTTCACAACTACTCTTGCTTCCTCTTGCCATCCTGACCCTCTATTTCCTTCAGAAGGCAGGGGAAGCTGACTGGGAAGGTCAGAAGACCTTGGACCAGAAGGGATGTTTGGGAGGGTGTGGGGTCTTGCTCACATTAGCACTTCCTTCTCCCTCTGGGGTCTCTGTCTCGAGTGAGGAATACAATTCTCCACTGTCCATCTAAACTGCCTGCTAGGCTCAAATCACCTGTCTACTTGTGTGTCCTTTGTAGTCCTGGGAATAACATATACATGGGCACATGCCCATGCTGCTATTTCTAAGGGAAGGCTAGAGTGTATCAGGCACCTTCTCCCATCCGTTCCCTACCTGAGACTTGACCTGGGGAATCTGTGTTCCTTTAATTGTGGCTGTCTCTGAAGAGTCCCAGGGAGGGTGTGGGGTTGGAGACCCTCTCCTTTTTGATGTTGACCTTCCATTCCAGAACTTCAGAGCTGACTGGATGGCACAAAAGCTGATGGGGAAGGCAGGAATAAGGAGCAAAGGACTAAATTGTGGAGGATTCTGAGGCTAAAAGTGGAAAGGGGCTGCTGACTAGAAAGCCCCACCCCCAAAAGACAGGCAGCTGGAGATTCAAAGCACTCATTTATCCCTTACTGTGTCCAAAAACCCAAAGAAATCTCTGAACTTTTCTAATTTGCAAAAGATCCTTCATTTCATCAACTCAAGCCTCAAATTCCCATGGCTAGGGCTTGGACAGGACTTGTTGACCTGAAAGGACCCTTCACACACCTCCCCAAGGAACAATGATGAAGGCTCCAGGAGCCATTTTACTCCATTATCTCACCTGTCGTCTGCCCATTGTCAGGTCCAGGGGGTGGGTGAGATGTGGTAATGCAAGAAAATTCTTTTACATACAGGAAAGGTGAACCTGATGAGCCGAGCATATGGGGTCAGCTAGAGCTGCACCCCTTCCCTGCTTGCTTCCCTTCCCGGAGGAGCTGGAGGATGGGGAATTCCTGAGAATGGGCTAAGGGCCTGGCTCCCTGGGGGAGTGGTGGGAATATCAGGGACTGACTCTATCTTGGTCACCTAAATAGTCTTTTCCAGGAAGAGGTCTTCAGGCTGCTGGACTAGGGTACCAGCCGAGGAGGAGAAACTGAGGCAGGGCCCTCCCACCCCCCAGGGTCATTGCAACACGAGACCCAAGGAAGCTGCGTAGGCAGCCTCAGCCCCTCCTACTGTTCCTAGGTGCTGATCCCAGCACGGACCACTCAGGAAAGAGGATTGGCTGAGTAACTTGGAGAAGGGGCGTCACCAGTACCTCGCTTAAGGGTTAAATAGGGGTGCAGGCAAGATGCTCAGAAGTACTGTATTTCTGAACCAGATCATGACCCAGACCCTCAAGCTCGCCTCCAGAGTGTTGCGGCGCGTCCGCTGTGCTTCTGAGTGGGGCGCCTCGCTGAGCTTCAGAAGCTCTGGCTCAGCGCCCTGGAGCTTGGCGGACATCCCCGGCCCCTCCACGCCGGGTTTCCTAGCCGAACTTTTCTGCAAGGGGGGACTGTCACGGCTACACGAGCTGCAGGTAGAGAGGAACTCCGTTCCTGGGACTGAATGCTGGGGAAACAGACTAGTGTGGAAAGTAGGAGGGAAGGACAGTGAGAACGGATGCCCATGAGTTACAGAAAAAGACAAGTCGGGATTTGGGGCTTTAGCTCGAGCTGCTCAGAGTCTACCCCGACGCCCAGCAGAGGCGTCAACTCTAAAAGCGCGTTCTAGTGGGGAAGAAGTCTGGAAGCAAGGTAGGTCCAGGACAGGTGTGCGGGAGGCAGAAACGCACAGTACCTTCCCCAAGCATTCGGCGCGTTGGACTTAAAGCTACTACTGTAATTCAGTGGGGTCTCGTCCTGAAATGGACAATCCACATGAGGAACCTTTAGGGATTTTTCCGCCTCGGTTCAGCCCAGGTAATCAAAGAGGGGTACTGAATGTCTAAGCAAAGTTCTTCCGTTTTTGCCCATCACACTCAAACTTCGTAGAGATGGGAAGTGGGGGAGAAAGTAGGAGGGATTTGCAGCATTAGGACCACACTAGCCGGGAGCTCACAAAGCAGCAGAAGCTCCCCTTCCAAAGCCCAGCCAACGTCCTTGGCGTTGGCACGGGCCAAGCTGGGAGTCGCCTGCCTTTGCCTCCAGTGTCCGCCGTGCCCGTTCTCCCAGGTTCAGGGTACCGCGCGCTTCGGTCCTGTGTGGCTGGCCAGCTTCGGGAAGGTGCGCACGGTGTACGTGGCGGCCCCTACACTCATCGAGCAACTGCTGCGACAGGAGGGGCCCCGGCCAGAGCGCTGCAGCTTCTCACCCTGGGTTGAGCACCGTCGCCGGCGTCAGCGGGCTTGCGGACTGCTCACCGCGTAAGTCCTCTGTGGCCCCAAAGCCGAGAAGGTCTGCTGCGTCCTTCTCCTGTGGCGGGTTTAGAGACAGGCGGGTGTAAAGGTGGCCGTTTCATCCAGGCTCTGGCAAAGATGGGTTTCCACCCCAGTATGTTTTGCCCAAGCTCAGGTAGAGCCCAGCCCTCGCCCCACCCGCTTCCCCGTCCTTATCTTTTGACGACAGAATCCTGGACACTGGCAAAAGGTACCAGGATCCAGATAGAATGCAAGATTCTGTGAGTCTGGTTACCCAGGAACCCAGGCCTCTCTGGGGCAGGAAATGAGTAACGAGGAAGGGGGATGAAAACCGGACGCAGGCAGGGGCAGGTCTCTGTACCCCGAGGAAGCAGTCGCAATCCCTCCTCTAGCCACGAGTCGAAGGAGCTCCTCAACCGCAGCCAGCTGCGTTGAGCAGTCTCCACACACCCCCAACTGCCCTGATGCGCCCTCTCTCCGTACCCCCGCAGGGAAGGCGAAGAATGGCAAAGGCTCCGCAGTCTCCTTGCCCCGCTCCTCCTCCGGCCTCAAGCGGCCGCCCGCTATGCCAGGACCCTGGACGACGTGGTCCTTGATCTTGTGCAGCGACTGCGATGCCAACGGGGACGCGGCGCCGGGCCACCTGCCCTGGTTCGTGATGTAGCCGGAGAGTTTTACAAGTTTGGCCTAGAAGGTGAGTCCCAAGGCAATTCAGGGCAAGTTTAAAAGGCACCCGCGAGGGGAAGAGGTTGTGTCCTCCCTGTGCCCTGACAGCGCCCCCTGTCGGTCAGGCATAGCTGCGGTGCTGCTGGGTTCGCGCCTGGGCTGCCTGGAAGCTGAAGTGCCTCCAGACACAGAGACCTTCATTCGCGCGGTGGGATCTGTGTTTGTGTCCACACTGTTGACCATGGCGATGCCCAAATGGCTGCACCACCTCGTGCCAGGACCCTGGGGCCGCCTCTGCCAAGATTGGGACCAGATGTTTGCATTTGGTAAGGCACAGAAATGAAGTTGGGACGGGGGATCCTAGAGCTGTGCAGGGATAGTGAGGCATTCGGGCACCTTCTCTCCCCACAGCCCAGAAGCACGTGGAAAGGCGAGAGTCAGAGGCAGCCATGAGGAGCCAGGGAAGGCCTGAGGAGAAAATGGGATCTGGGGCGCACCTGACCTACTTCCTGTTCCAGGAAGAGTTGCCTGCCCCATCCATCCTGGGGAACGTGACAGAGTTGCTACTAGCTGGAGTGGACACGGTAGAGTTCTCCTCCATATTGCGGGCCCCCTTGGAGAGCTGGGCCTCCCCAATCTCAGGCCTGCCGCAGAGGATTCACTATGGCCCTCCAGACCAGCTTGGGTTACCACCTCCTGGGCTCTAGGCAGCTTCATACTCTGCTCCCTGTCCTGGTTCCCCTCTCTTAGTACCTCCGATGCTCTCATCCATCCTCTCAGGTATCCAACACGCTCTCCTGGGCTTTATATGAACTCTCTCGACACCCAGACGTCCAGACGGCACTTCACTCTGAGATCACAGCTGCCTTGGGCCGGGGGTCCAATGCCCACTCCTCAGTCACTGCTCTGTCCCAGCTGCCCCTGCTGAAAGCTGTCCTCAAGGAAGTGCTAAGGTAAGGGGACAGGAGAGGAGGAGCTAGAGGAAAATGCTGGGGAAGGGCTGAGGGAGCAGATAGTAGATGCAAGCAAGGAGAAAACAGAATTAAATGGTACTCTGTTTCTGGCCAAGAATGGGTTTGGAAGTTGCCAGCATGAGAGGGAGGCTAACAGCCCCCAGCCTCACCTTCCTGTCTCTCCTTGTGCTCTGCAACACAGGCTATACCCTGTAGTGCCTGGAAATTCCCGTGTTCCAGACAAAGACATTCGTGTTGGTGATTATATTATCCCCAAAAATGTGAGTAGAGCCTATGAGTCTGTTTTGCTAAGCCGTCCCTCACTATCGTGGCCGCTGCCCTGTAACAACCCTCTGTAAGCCCCTCAAACCCTCCGTTCGCCTGAGCGCTTCTCTCTGGTCTATAATGGGGCCGTGGAGAAATCCTTCCAAAAGCAGCCCCAGAAAATTTCCATATCACCCACCAGAGCCTACCTTCATCCCAGTCCATATAGCCTCTTCTCCATGTTCCTCCCTGCATTTCTAGCCCCAAATTGACAACTTTGTGTTTTTCCCTCACCAGACGCTGGTCACTCTGTGTCACTATGCCACTTCAAGGGACCCTTCTCAGTTCCCAGAGCCAAATACTTTTCGCCCAGCTCGCTGGCTAGGGGAAGGTCCAGCCCCCCACCCATTTGCGTCTCTTCCCTTCGGCTTTGGCAAGCGCAGCTGCATGGGGAGACGCCTGGCAGAGCTTGAGCTGCAAATGGCTTTGGCCCAGGTGAGTGATCTACACCTTCTACTTTCTCCAAATGAGAACGACCTAACACTCTAAAGCTGTGAGCTCTTCTCCTGACAAACATAGGAAAACATTTAAGATTTGGTAGGCCTAATTCTCTGAAATATGTCAGTCCCATTATAGGCCTAGAAAGCAAGTGAGGGTATTTGGCCTATCTTTCTCCTTCCCATAATCCTTTGTCCTGATTAACCAAGAAGTCCACTACCAGCCACAGGTGCCATTCTAACCTTGACCACCCTAACACCCATAATGCCTAGGACTGAAAGGGCCCACCACAATAGATCCCTCTCATAGTGATAACCTTCTTCCTCCCTTTTCAGATCCTGACCCACTTTGAGGTACAGCCTGAGCCAGGCGCTGCTCCAATCAGACCCATGACCCGGACTGTGCTGGTACCTGAGAGGAGCATTAACCTGCAGTTTGTGGACAGATAGTCCTGTGGAAGGAGGCTGTTATCATTACCCTTTCTCTTATCATAGGGGTGTATTAGGCACAAGAGCAAGCGATATGTCTTTCCCCTGAGGCCTGCCAAACAGATCAAACCATAGCAAAGTGTTTGAGGCAGCCCTGACCAAGGTGTGAAGTATGCATTTGGCCTGCCTGACGCAGCAGGGTCAGAGAAAACCCTAGTTCCTCTGCCTGCTCAGTCCGTCTCCTGGTCATATCATGTGCACCCTTCTAGGCGTAATTCAGACTTTAACTAATAATGCTGGGCAACCTGAGGAAGAATCCCACCGCTGCCCTGTTGGGGCTTCCACAGTGTTCATTGATGCTGCCAGTTAAGCTCTTAGCTTGACATGAGCTAAGTAATTGTGCATCTGGTCTGCACCTGGTTAGTCCTCTCTCCTTGTTATGTGAGATCTTTGAGAGGAAAAATGAGGCCTTATTCAGTCTTTATATCCCCTGCCAGGGCCTAACCCTAGGCGATACCACACAAATTCTCAGACTGAATCTGGGCCACGTAGCAGAAGGGCTGAGCAGCTTACCAGGCTCTTTCTACCCTGCTCCTTCCTCGCCTTGCCCCTAGGAAGGTGAGTCTGCCCTTGCCTGGTTTATGACTTTTTAAAAAACTATCTTTAAAAACAAACAAACCAAAAAAACCCCACTATCTTTGCCTTTCTGGTCACTATTATATTGGCTTGCCCCACCACTTAGTTCCCAGACAGAGACATCTCAGGACTTGTCCCTGTGTATGCCTTCCTTTTATATACTAGAAATTTGAAATACTCATGATTTTGCAATAAAAATTAAAAACCTGAACGTTCCCTCCATGACTTCTGACTCATTTCTCTCCCACTCTCACTTCCTACAAGACCTGGAGGCCAGACCCTCACCCAAATCCCCAACCTTGGCTTCTCAGACCCTGGGAGTGACCCCGAAACATGGGAGGTCTAGACACTTGGAAGGTGGGTTTGCATCACAAACCCAGGCATGTTTCTGTCTGGAGTGGGAGCAGCCAAGTCTGGCTCCCTGGGAGGGAATAAGGGGGTGGTAGTGGAAAGTAACCCTAAGGGCTAGACTGTAAAAATGGGTTCAGAGCTAGGGATTTGCAGAGATGGCCAGAGGCAGCCTGACTCTTTGGTAGAAGTGTTTTTGGAACCTGGACTGAAGGATATCCTTGAATGTCCACTCTGCCCTCTCTGGAAAAGTTGCTGCAAGGTCATCTCCTTTGGAGAAAGGCAGAGATACAGGCAGAGAAGTGAAGTCAGACAGAATGAAAATTCACGTGGGGGTGGCCCGAAGCCCTGCAGTGCTGAGGCAGAAGGGGGCTGGGCAGAGGGGTCCTGTTTCCCTGAGTCAGCACTCTCAGGCCCCCCAGAAGCTGGGCACAGTCCTCCCCTTGCGATATGTAAACTCACCTTCCATACAAATAAATCTCTCAGCACGCTCCCCACAGCTCCCTCTGTAGCCCAGGTTACCCTCCCCATGTCAGGACTTGCCCCCTTCGCCCCTGCACCCTTCACACCCCATTCCAATTAGCCAGACTTCACTTCGCACTCCCTCCTCCTCCCCACCACCTCAGCCTCCTGCCCTAGACAGGGATCCCTGACCACAGAAACTCCATTAGCCACCAAACCTGGGGAGTATCTATTTATGTAAGTTCTACCAAGGGGCAAGTTGTACCCAAGGCCCTGTGCAGAGACCAAGGTCTGTGCCTTTACTGTCCCTTCTCTCAGCTCCTTCTCTACTATGCTCAGTCTGCACCCCCACACCCCACACAGAAGCTGAGGTCTCTGTACACCCATGCTCCTCGTTGGGTAAGCTGGACTGCTCACTTGAGGAGAGCAACAGCTTCTATGACCCCTTCCTTGGACAAGAATCTCTTTAAGTTAGAAAAGGGGAGGGCAGGGGACTGTACTTATTGCTGGTCCAAACCCCAATACCAAGATGTCCAAAGGTGATGAAAGGAAGAGGAATAGACTGTCTCACTTGGCTTGATTTTAGGTCCCAGAGTGGAAATGGAGACAGTGGGTTTGTGTGCGTATGTTCTCGGGATATTTTAAACTTCCATGTGGGATCATCAAGGGGGACAACCCAGTTTTGACACAGGAAACCCCAACTGTGTCATACCTACCTGAACCCTATCTACCAGGAGAGGCACTAGTAGTCACTCTGATTTGTTATCTCCCTTCTGATCCTCACCAACTATTCTGTAAATAGCAAACCAGTAAAGCCTGGCTCTTCTGTCTGCCAAAGCAGGGAATGTGGAGGATTCTCTGTCCGGGGAAACAATTTTCCACTGGAAAAATGGGGAGGGTGGCATGCAGCCTCAGTTCCCTCTCCACTTTGACCGCTGGAAGTGATACACTTCTACACTTCCAGGTGACTCAAATCCAAGTCCAACTTTGGTTTCTACTCTCCCAGGCGACTCTGGTAGCTAGCACCATGGACAGCAGCCAAGATCCTTTTGCAGAGGGATGGGGGATGACCATTACCCAGGCAAAGGTATGTGGCCTTTGGTAGATAAACATCCCCAGGGAAGAGGTAAAGCAGAACCTTCCCTGAAAGAAGGACTAATAATAGGAAAGGCCTTTGGATCTGACTTTAGCAAAGTGTGAAGTAATTAATTCAATTGCTGATGAGCCTTTCACCATCATTCATAAAGACACAGCTCCAAGGCCTCAGGAGAAAGAGATGAGGCTTCAAGCTGACCTGCATTTTAACTAGTCCTTCCCAAACTTTTCCACTATAGACAACTGCCCCTTACACTGCTGCCTCCAAGCACAACACCTTCCAGTTACTACCACTAGCTGGGATATGCCAGGATCAGACTTATGACCCTAAACTGCCATAGGAGAGGAAACTGGAGCTGGAGGCTCGTATCATGGAAGGATTCTGTCCCTCTTACTCTAAGAGTCCAAAAATACATCAAACCACTTCTCCAGGTGAGCACAGAACCTGAAAAGGACTTAGAGAACCCGAACAATCCCCAGAGCAAGGAGAGCTCCAGCCTTCCCCTGCTCCCATGTTTATAGGGTTGGAGGAGCTCTCGTTCTTACAAATAACCACCATCCTTCACATTTGTAATGTCTATTCCTCCTCATGTTTACATATCTATTATGACACTCAACACACATTTCCAAGGCTCTGTGTAACTCCAGATGAAAAACACATTTTGAAATTTGTTAACTAGCATGGACCATCACCTAATGTAGAAATCTTTTCACGCCATCATTGATATTCTTTGCAATGGCACTCAACCTGTCTTTTCTTTATCCTCATTCCAACCCTATGAGGTAGAGAGGAAAACCACGGTGCAGATTTTTTTTCTAAATCACACACAACTTGGAGGTGGTAGGTCCACCCTTTACATACCTCTGAGCACTGCCATCCAGCAGCCAGCATGAATTACTCACCAGCAAGTGGGAGTAAAACCTTCACCTCAGAACCCACTGCTGCATTTGGGATTTGGAACTTCTGCAAAGAAACCTCCTCACACCTCCCAACCCTCCAGAAAAGCCCCAGATGAGAAAGGAGTCTCCTCGTGCATATAAATGATTCTTTATGCCCTACCCCCATGCAGTGGGGGGCAGAGCCAGGGAAGTCCCCCCCGCCCTCATGCAGGGAACGGGAGGTCAATGTATACTAGTCTTATTGCCAGCTGCCCTGTGGCCATGAAGTGGGGATTGGGGGGGTCTACAGCCCCTTTCTTCTGGCATTGGTTCCCCCCTCACCAAGTCACTGTGGTAGAGCTGAGGGGCTAGAGGCCCTAGGAGCTGAGGTAAAGACGGTTCTCTAGGGAAGAAGAGCTGCTCTCCCCACTTGCTCACTGGCTGCCCCAGGATGAGTGTGAGGAGCTGTCAGTGGGGGCTGGAATGTCATCCAAGTGTCTCTACCCAGTGGGCAGGAGAGGCCAGACAATGTCTCCAGCTTGAGGCTGCCCACAGAGATCCTCAGTAGGGGGGGCAGTTGCACCAAACATCTGGTCCAGGCAGTACCTCCAACAGTCATGATAGCTCATCTCTGGCCAAAGTACTGACTCAAGATCCCCGCTCCTGGAGTCCAGTTCAGACTGTGGTGACCCTCATGACAACCTCCCGGCCAGAATGGGAACTGGAACGCGCATCCGGTGGCCGCAGCTGTCCAAGGAGGTGCAGGATTGTATAACCACAGCGCTGAGGCAAGAGCGTCCGCATGCGCTGAGCAGCCGGGGGGCGGCTGGTGGCCCCAGAGGGCGGGCCTGTCCTTGAGGTCCTGGGGCCTGGCTTCCCTGCTGTCCCTCCCCCTGCATCTCCTCCTATGTCCTTGGTCTTGTCATAATTCAGGACCTTCCACTGCTGGTTCACTGCCTGCCAGCGCTTGAAGATGCGGTAGACAGAGGAGCCTTCATGGACGATGAGGCCTGAGCAAGAGGGATAAGATATCCAGGGTCAACTGCTGCCCAGACCTAGGCTAGAGATGCTTAAACAAGGTCTTTTTCTTTTCTTTCTTTTTTTTTAAGAGAGAGAAAGAGAGAAGAAGAGAGGGGGTGGGGCAGGGGAGAAGGGTGGGGAGAGACAGAGAGAGAGCGATTTGTTGTTCCACTTATTTATAACAATTCATTTATAATCAATCCATTGACTGATTTTTATGTGTGCCCTGACTGGGGATACATGACTCTGGTATATCAGGATGACACTCTAAGCAACTGAGCTACTCAGCCAGGGCCAAGCAAGCATTTTCCAGAGTCAGGAGATAGGGTTGCAAAGGGCCTGGAGAAGCTGGGAAGAAAGGGGCTCAAAGATAGCCCTGAAGGCCCTCAGTGGTAGAAAATGTGGCCATAAAGCTGAGGAAATGTGTAGGGAAAGTTAAAAGAGTATGAGTCGGAGGAAGCTGCTCATCAGGTAAAGGGGAGAGGTGTCCTCACCTATGCAGACGACATCCATGAAGCCATACATGCCGTAGCAGATCTGAAAGAGCAGGTCCTGTCGTTGCCACTTGGCTGAAGGGCTGAGTGAGGACCAGATGAGCCAGGAGATGCTGGCGACGAGGAAGAGAGAGCCCAGAACTATGGCCGCAATCTGGACCTTCTCAATGACCGTCAGGGAGATGGCCTGCCACTGTGTGGGAGAAAGGGCTCCAAAGAGTCACCGAAAGAAACGGAGGGCCAGGTGATGGGTGGCCCTGAAGAGGAGGATACTCTAGGAGCCTTTCTGAAACCCTTCCAGCAGGATTCACATCTGTCTCCTCTGTGCCCTGACCTAACCTAGAACGTGGCCTGCTCACATTATTTGAGACCATTCATCTGTCTTAGTTTAGAAAGGCAGGATCAGGCAAGTGCTCTGAAGCCAGACCATCCAGGTTTCAATTCCAGGTTCTAATTCTATCACCTCCTGGCTGAGTAACCCTGGGCAAGTTTTCAAATTGCTTTGTGCATCAATCTTTAAAATAGGAATAATAATGATATATAACTAATTGGATTATTACGAAGATTAAAAGAGTTAATACACACCAAGAGCTTGACATAAAACACTACGTGTTTGCTACCATCATCATTGACATTATCATCTTTTCCTTTTTCTTGTCCCAGTGCCTAGAACAGTACCTGGAATTTTAGTTGGCACCCAGTAATGTCTTTGTGGAGAAAGGGAAGATTTACAGACAGATAGGAAACTGTGGCCATGGTGGGGAGGGGTAAATAAATGGATGCAATAGCCTCCCAGGAGGGTTTCTGAGCCTGACTGCTGAAAGGGCCCTTGCCCCAGCCTGAGAACCCTCTCCTTGGACCTTACCTGCAGTGGGTTCTTGGTGCTGATTGCCAGGACCTGATACTTGAAGTAGCAGAGCTCACAGCTCCAGGAGCCCCTCTCACTGATCCAGCGGATGAGGCAGGGCTGGTGAGTGCAGCGCACAGAGCCGTCGCAGCGGCAGGGGCTCAGGAGCTCCCCCTGGAGGAAGAGTGACGGGAGTATCTGTCAGCTATAACCACTCGGACCCCACTCCTCTTTTCCCTGGGAGGGGAAAACCTCCTCTCTGGGTCATTCATTTCTCCCACCTTAAAAAAGGTCAGTCCTTTCACCCAAAACAGGGCAAGAGGCTAAGGCTGCAGCACAAAAGACTAAAGTCAGAGCTCAATGTAAACTTCCCTGACCAAACAGATGAGGGATGAAGAGAGACTGGGTAGGGGGTGGGACACTGGATCTTTTCTCTTTTCCTAGAATTTGGAGAAGGTGGTCTTTAAGGCCTCCCAAATGGAAGACTACCCCTTAGGATCTGGAGTGTGAGGGTTAGTGCTTCAGAGCCATGCCCTCCTCCCGCACTCCACCGCTGTAAAGTATTTCCTAGATGTGGTGCAGGCTGAGATGGGTAACATCCCCAGTTTCCAGGCACCAAAACGGAGGAGAAATCCTCGGGGTGGTAGTAGAAGGTGTTTTCTTTTCATCAAGGAATAATTTCTCACGACATAGAGACATCCCAGCACTATCCCCAGACAACTTTGTCCATAACATTTAAACCAGGAATGCTCTTTGAAATGAGACGGAAAGTTGCAGAATCAGAAGTGAACAAAAGTGCCCCACGACAGAAATACTGAATGAGGCAAGGGCATCGGCCGGGCCCCTCCCCTCAACGTGGAAACAGAAGCACCCTTCTCTGGCCACCTCCTCAGCCTACAAAGACCCTGGGGTGAGGGAAGGAGGGGGGAAAAAGGCTGTCCCGTTAACGGGTGAGAAGGATTTTGAGCCCTGCTATAGGACAGCCCCACCCCTTCCTGGGGAGCCCTGACCCCCTCCACCCCACACACACAAACGGTCGGGGAGTCTCCAGCTAGCCCCCCAACCTCACCCCAGGCCCGCTCGGGTCCTGGGTCCCGCCCGGCCTCCGCAGGTCCCGCCCCCTGCTCGCGGTCTCCCCGGGCGCCCCAGGTGCGCGCCCCCACCCCGCCCCACCCCGCCTGTGTCCAGGCCTGACCTGCTCAGGGCCCTGAAAACAGATTCGGCACTGGGGGGTTCGGAGCCCACTGTCCAGGCTGCTGCTGAGCGACAGGGCGTCCAGCGCGCCCGGGGGCGGCGGCGGCGGCGCGGGTGGCGGCGGGGGTCCGGCCCGCGGCTCCTTGTCTCCGGCCAGGCCCCGGGCCCGCGGCTCCGACCCGTAGTACTCCTCTTCGTCGCCGTCGCCGTCCCGGGTCGAGCAGCCGGCGAAGGGCGCCCAGCCGCAGCCGCCTCCCCCGCCCCCCCGGGGCTGCGGCTCGGCCCGGGGCCGCCCCCCGCCCGTCAGCACCAGCAGCTTCAGCTCGTTCAGGAACATGCGGAGCCGAGACTTGAGCATCGTCCGGGCGCCGGGGGACGGGGGGCGGCGCGCAAGGGGGCTCTCGGGCGGCGGGGGGAAGGGAGAGGACAAGGCCTGAAAGGGGGCGCGCGCCGGAGAGCCGAGCCCCGCGGGGGTCTTCGGGGCCTGCGAGCGCCGTTCACTGCTGCCACCGCCGGGGCTTCGGAGCTTGCGGGGCCGGGAGGGCTGGCGGCCCGGGGGCGGCAGGGCGGGCAGCCATGGCCGGGCAGTGGGCGGGGAGGGGGCTCAGGGTACCGCGCCCCGCGGGTCTGGGTCCGGAGCGGGCCGGGCCCCCGGGATTACGCGCCCGGATCCTCCTGCGGCGGGGCCGCCCCCCATCGCCGTCCTCCTGGCCCCAGTCCCGCTCCGGCTCCCGGCTCCGGCTCGGCTCGGCCCGTGCGCTCGGCGGTGGCAAATGGCGGCTCCTTCCGGCGGCGGCGGCGGCGGCGGCGGCGGCGGCGGCGGCGGAGACCCCCCCGGAGCGGCGGGCGGGCGGGGCGGGCGGGGCGGGAGCCGGGAGCCGGTGAGGGATGGAGGGAGGGGCGGGGCGGAGAAGCGGGGAGAGGAGAAGTGGCCGCGGCTGCGCATCCCCGCCCTGCCCCGCACGAGCAGGTGTCCCTAGAGGCGGGGGCGAGTGTGCGAGCCCGGGTGAGGAAGGAGGGAGGGGAGTGTCCAAGAAAGGGGAGTGTGCACAGTGGTAGGAGAATAGGTGTGTGAACGGGTGAGGATGGAAAGTGAGTGAGTACTCAAGCAGGTGCACCAGAGAGGGAGAGGCTTGTGCAAAATGGGAGTGTGCAGAGAAAAAGCTATGTAAAGGTCTACGGTATGAGGAAGGTAAGTGAGCAAGAGGTGGCCTCAAGCGATAAACACTTTTACACAAAGGACTGAGAAGCGTGCTTGATGCCGGACTGTGGAAGAGATGTGAGTGTAAGGGATGGAATCGCGTTGCATGAGAAGCAATGAGTGTGGTTGTAATGTGTGAGGGAAGTGAATGAGCAAGGGAGACAGGAGTACTAAAGGGATGCGAGTGTCTTTTCCGGGATTCTCCTGCCCTCACCACTACTACCCTGAACTGAACATTCCCCCCCCACACACACACAGCTCTTTGCTTTTATGGGAGCCTTGACCCTGAGAACCAGTTGTGCCCCCTACTATTTCTGATTTACACATACAACCTCCCTTTCTTCCCTTTTCCAACGCTGAGGGAAAAGGAATTCCAGGGAGCCCATTGGGTCAAACACGCTGGGAAAAAATTAATTAGTAAAAGAGTAATTAACAGAAGGGAGGGTATGGAACCAGGGACAGACTGCCAAACTAAGGCTCCTCAATAGAAAATGATTAAGGAGAGTAATGCTCTTATGAAACATTCAAATGCATGGCATGGATGAATGAAAGAGTAAGTCAGAAAAGGGGGCTAGAACCCAAGCCAACACAGGGGATGACATTTTTAAATTGAACTTACTGGGGGTGAATTGGTTCACAAAACCATACAGTTTTCAAATTTACAACTCATCATCTGCACACTGCATAATATGCCCATCTCCCAAAGTAAAGTCCCCTTCTGTCCCCATTTATCCCTACTTTGCCCACCTCCACACACCGCAACTCCTCTTTCCCCATGGCTATCACCATACTGCTGTCTGTGTCTATGTTATATATGCATGTGTGTACATACGCGTGCACACACAATTTTCCCCCTCAATCTCTCCCCTTTCTTTCGACTTCTAAAGACAGTGAGCTGTGGTGGGCTAATGTGGAAGGTGAGGCTGAGGTGGACTCTACTGGTGTAGAAAGTTTGACACAGACACTTAGCCTTCCCAAAGGTTCACAAACCAACTAGTTCTAACAAGGTAGCCAATGAGATATTCACCTTACAAGCCCCTAGTCTCAGATCTTGAGGTTATTCTTTTTATTCTCTTTTGTAAATTTTCATTTATTGACTTCAGAGGGAGAGAAAGGGAGGGGGAGAGAGAGAGAGAGGAACATCTATCTGTTGTCCAACTTATTTATGCATTCATTGATTTTATTTGTGCTCTGACCTGGAATGGAACCTGCGACCTTGGTGTATAGGGACAATGCTCTAACCAGCTGAGCTACCTGGACTTTTTTCCTTTTTTTTTTTTTAGGATTTTATTTATTTTTTAGAGAGAGGAGAAAGGAAGAAGGAAAAGGGGGAGAGACATTGATTGGTTGTCTCTCATACACCCCCAACCAGGGCCCTGGCCTGCAACCCAGGCATATGTCCTGACTAGGAATCAAACTCTCAAGCTTTCAGTTCACAGGCCAGCGTCCAACCCACTGAGCCATACCAGCCAGGGCTTGAGGTTTTTCTTACTAGTCCCAGCTGCCTTTATCAACAAGGACCCAGAGTTATACGTATCAGAATGCAGCGAGGGAGAATCTCTACTGACATGTCTTGTTTTGCCCAGAGCATGCTTTATATTCATCTCAAACCTGAACTATTATATTCTCAGCCAGATTGTTAAAGAAAATAGAAGTTAGTGAAAGAAGTGACATGGGGTAATAAAATGTTTTCAGATTTTAGACAAGTTGTCACAAATGAGACACTGATCCCTTCCTTCCCTTACTCCCATTCCCCCAAAGGGTTAGGAGATAAAGAAGTTGGAGTAAGACAAGGGAAGCCAGAGAGAAACCTGCCTGTTGTATACTTTTATAAGGCGTCTGTGAGCAAAGGCCATTTGGGAAAGGTTTGTTCCTTGCTGCGGCAAGAGCTAAGAAAACTTGCACTGGAGGAAAAGTACAATAACTTCAAATAATGAGTCACAAGTTTTGCAGAAGAGTACAAGTCATTCTCATGTAATGTGATGGTCTGGGGTAGTGGTTGTAGTAACTTCCTTGCACATGCTCACACCTGTAAATATACAAATATATATCCATCTGTCTATACAGACATATATATCATACACATACACATATATAACATCAAGTGCTTAAAAATCAACAATTCCTGTTTCCCAGTCATTGAAAACTTCTCTGCCAGAAGGCAAGTGGTGGTCTCTGCTTTAACACTCCCAGGAAGGGGTGGAAATTGGGAAGAGGGGAAGCCATTACCTTGCCCCTCTTTCTCTTGGATTACTGTGTTAGTTTGCTTTTCATGAATCCTTTAATCCTAGTTTTGCCCTCAGATGAGCATTGTCTTTTCTCTACTTTATATGACCACACTGTTGGCTTCCTCTTTACAGATAGCCTTATCACTACTTAAAAGGGCTAGTGACTGAGACGCAAAAAGCAAACAGACCCACAAAGAACCCCACATACACAGGGGAAGCGAGCACTCAGCAAAAATTTGTTGAATGAATGAAAGATACAAATAAGTTCTCCGTTGGCGGTAAAGCAGAAAGGCGACAGCACCACCTCTTGTTCCCCAGACACCCGCCCAGCCCTCAACATGGAGTGAGAGACTAGGAGTGAGACTGGAGAAGGCCTGCAGCGCGAGTTGGCATCTGGGTGGCCCAGGTTGCCATGGCACCGCCTTAGACTCCACCCTCGCTCTTCTTCTTCCTCCACTCCCACTTGCCTCCCCCTTCTCTCCCGCCCCGGCCTAGGTAGTGGCAGCTAGTCACGTGCTCTGCCGCGTAACCACACCTCCGCTCCACCGAGAACTGTCAGTGGTCACGTGGGATAGCAACAGATCATATGGCTTCCATCGCCCCTCCTCCCCCCTCCCCTCACTGCCCCCTAACCGGGCAAAGCCACTCCCGGCCCCTGTGCGCATGAGTGACTGGTCACGTGCCCCGAACGTCCGGCGTTCGCCCACCCCCGCCCCACCCCCGACCGAGTTTCCGCGCGCTTCTTTGGCAGCTGGTCACATGGTGAGGGTGGGGGTAAGGGGGCCGCTCTAGCTTGCGGCCTGTGTCTGTGGTCGGGCCCGTGGCGTCCAGCTGCTTTGAACAGACCTCAAGTGTATGGCGCCTCAGGAACCGGCTCCTGGGCCCCGGTAACGGGCCGACCCCGCATCTCCCGGCACGGGGTGAAGTAAGTGCAGACCCTTCCCGGGAATGGAGACCGTTTTCGCGTACCATGGCTTCCTGCGCGGTCTAGTTACCGAAGGGTCGCTCGAGGGCGGGAAGTGGGACGGTGTAATCTGGTCCTTTGTGGTTGTAGGGAGGGATAGTTTTAGGGGCTGGGGTGTAGGGTCTTCGATGCAGAGGGCGTGTCGTGTAGGATCCTACTTGGGCCGGGCTGGACGGTCCCAAAGGAAAAAGCATTTTTTTTAAATTCTAGGGCCTCACGTGGCTGAAGGATTTGGGGATAGAGTCATTGTGTCACCTGAGGCACTGGCCTCGAGGAAGGGTGGAGAAGGGATGCTGGTGGTGGCGTCTTTGTGATCTTTTTGTGGGAGTTACTTTGTTGCTGTAGGCTCATACCATCCGAACTCTGGAGGAGAATTTCGGTGGTAGGAGCTTCTGTGATTGTAGGGTCTCCTCTGATCTGAGAATGGCTACTCCTCGATATGAGCCAGTGGCGGAGATTGGTGTTGGTGCCTATGGGACGGTGTACAAGGCCCGTGATCCCCACAGTGGCCACTTTGTGGCCCTCAAGAGCGTGAGAGTCCCCAATGGAGGAGGTGCTGGAGGGGGCCTTCCCATCAGTACAGTTCGTGAGGTGGCCTTACTGAGGCGGCTGGAAGCTTTTGAGCATCCCAATGTTGTCCGGTGAGAAGGTGGAGGGTTGGAAGTGGGTAGTAAAGGGGAAAAGACACCTGTAGGTGGGGAGTGGTGGTCAGGAGAGAAGTGGGGGCCCTAAGGAAATAGGGAAGACTATGCTGGGGCCAGAAGGGATTGATCAGCGAGTGAGTGAATATTTGTTCTGGCCAGGCTGATGGACGTCTGTGCCACCGCCCGCACTGACCGGGAGACCAAAGTGACCCTGGTGTTTGAGCATGTGGACCAAGATCTAAGGACGTATCTGGACAAGGCACCCCCACCAGGCTTGCCAGTGGAAACCATTAAGGTGAGTGGGATGGGCCAACAATGAGAGGTACATGGGACCTCTGCAGTAGAAGCTGCTGCGATTTCAGATATGGCACCTAATTTCCAGTTCCTCTGTACCTCCCCCTTCCAAACCAGGATCTGATGCGCCAGTTTCTAAGAGGCCTGGATTTCCTTCATGCCAACTGCATTGTTCACCGGGACCTGAAGCCAGAGAACATTCTGGTGACAAGTGGTGGGACGGTCAAGCTGGCTGACTTTGGCCTGGCCAGAATCTACAGCTACCAGATGGCACTTACACCTGTGGTCAGTAGGAAGATGGTAGCCAAAATGGGTTCTGGTTGAGGGTAGGAGAGCGATTGCCTGTAGCAGTTCATGCGTTTCATGACATCAGTTAAGCAGTTGTGGTGTATGGCAACCCATAGGGCCCTCATCCGCTTTTCTTATTCCTATTAGGTTGTTACGCTCTGGTACCGTGCTCCGGAAGTTCTTCTGCAGTCTACGTATGCAACACCTGTGGACTTGTGGAGTGTTGGCTGTATCTTTGCAGAGATGTTTCGTCGAAAGTATGGGACCCAAGTATCCTGAACAATTTTGAATTTCCCAAATCTTATAAACCACACCCATATCCTGCCTGTTTGTTTTTTAATTTTGTTGATTGCGGGGGAAGGGGAGGAAACATCAATTTGTTGTTCCACTTATTTATGTATTCATTGGTTGATTCTTGTATGTGCCCTGACCAGGGATTGAAACCACAATATTGGCATATTGGCACAACTCTGTAACTGAGCTGCCTGGCCAGGACAGAACCCTGCCCATTCTTTCGCTTGAGTACTACTGACCATCTTGTCCATAACCAGAAGCTCTGAAATGTTCTGGAATTAGGAACTTATTATCCCTTTAGTTTCCATATCGTCTGGGGGGGGGGGGTTTGTTCTTTAAAGATTTTATTTATGTATTTTTAGAGAGGGGAAAGGGGAAAGAGAGGGAGAGAAACATCAATGTGTGGTTGCCATGTGCACTACTAGGGATCTGGCCCAAAACCCAGGCATGTGCCCTGATGGGAAATCAAACCAGCGACCCCTTGGTTCACAGTTAGGCACTCTATATCCTTTGGGCCACACCAGCCAGGGCCATACCCTCTGTTTTGAGCCACTAAGCAGTAACCATTCTACCACCATATCTTTGAAAATGACGTCTATGTCCCTTCTCACTTTAGGCCTCTCTTCTGTGGAAACTCTGAAGCGGATCAATTAGGCAAAATCTTTGAGTAAGTGAGTGGCAAGGGGAAAAATATGTTCATTCTGAGTCTTGCTACTACTCAGTCTTGGAGATGGAGGCTGGAGCAGGACCCCACCCTGACCAGAGTTCTCTTGTTCCCCCATAGCCTGATTGGGCTGCCCCCAGAGGATGACTGGCCCCGAGATGTGTCTCTGCCCCGAGGAGCCTTTTCCCCCAGAGGGCCCCGCCCAGTGCAGTCCATGATACCTGAGATGGAGGAGTCTGGAGCACAGCTGCTGCTGGTACTGGGTTTGGGCATGGGCATGGGGTGAGATTGGGGTGGGAAATGGAGCAGAAAAGGCACCCAAATCATCGTGGTTCTTGAGACTTGGTGGATGGGCTAGTCTGTTGCTACTTTGATTGGCCATCTGTACAGAGGAATGTAGAAAATAGTCCACTCTAGGTATTGTTGGGGGTAAGCAAAAGTTTGGTGTTTTTTTTTCATGGTTTTCTGACCTTTGCCTCCCCTCAGGAGATGCTGACTTTTAACCCACATAAGCGAATCTCTGCCTTCCGAGCCCTGCAGCACTCTTATCTACAAAAGGCAGAAGGTAACCCAGAATGAGCAATGGAGTGGCTACATTTAGAACCAACAGAAGAGAACCGGTCATTTACCTACCTTTGAACACTTGAGAGCCCCCGACTGAGAAGGAGCTCTGTGCCTTTTTATCTCTGAGGCTTTGGAGGCTGCCTCCAACTTTTTACAGAGAATACTTCGCTGACTAGCATAATGACATTCCCCTCCCCCACTCCTTTTGAGGCTTATCAGTCTCCTGTTCTCATATTTCCTTACACCAAGGAATATGTCCCTTGTTCTCCCCCTCCTTACCTTGATATTGGGTCCTTTTTTATACAAGAAAAAAACAAAGAAATATGGTCTTTTTTAAAAATGTTTCTTCCTTTGATTGGCTTTGTCATTTGGGGATTTAGAAAAACCATTTGGAAGATGGATTTCCCTGCAGAATCTGAAAGATTCTCCTTAGGTCACAGGGCCTACATAGTCAGTGGAGCCCTTCAACTGGTAAGAAAAAACAAGGCATTTGATCTGCTTCTTTGTGTATGGAGTTTAAATGGCTTTTATTTTTATATTCACTGAAGTTCCCCCAAACTGGGTGCTGCTTATTACAAGAAAGAGTTCTTGGTGGTTTTCTCTGTCTCTGGTTTTCCCTTGGAGGCAGGCCAGGATGTTTTGCGGTGGTCCAGCATATGGAAGGGAGAAGAGGGGAGTCAGCCAGGAATGAGTCCAACCCCCATACCATCTCATGCACTCCCAGGAGCTTCACATATCCACTCAAGCAGATAAGTTGTTTTTCCTTAGTCCTTATACTCTTGCTCCCACCAGAAGATGTCAAGGTGGAGAGCCTGGCTATTGAGTCACCTTTAGAGGATGGCAAAGGGCCGTTCCTTTTTCTCAAACAAAAAAGGCTATTGACCCTGGGTTTTCCCTAAGGGAGTAAGAATCAGCTTAGGGAGAGCAGGAGTGAAGTCAGAAGGATCCAAAGTCTCATAGAAAGGCACTGGGGTTGGCTCGAGGATCCTTCTGATTCCGAAATCTCATTGCAAGCCAGACACCAAGAATCTACAGAAGGAAAGGGAAAGAGGTAAGCACCAATTCTGAATCTGTGAGGCTAACATATAAAGAAAGAGTATATGTGAGGGGACTGGAGAATGTTACCTCTGTAAAGCTAAAGAAGAGTCCAACACCCCCCAGGATTTTCAGGGCTTCATCTGAATGCTTAAGAAACTTTTCTCCACACATCTGGCATGTGGGCCTCTGGACCTTGCAGCCCTAGAATAAAATGTATGTGTGTGCGCGCGCATAAGATGCAGAGTTGCTAAGCCACCCTCTCCTGATACCTGTGGTGAATGTTCCTAAAAATTACTAGTTTTGATCAGTATTCTATAGATTGAAATCCCACTTGGCTAATTCTCTAGCCTCTGTATCCATCCCGCCTCTCAACACAAGAGCACACAACCCCAATACAAGACAGCTGCTAGAGAGAAGCAATCATATTCAAACTCAAATCTGCCAATTTGGGCAGTGTTCTTACCCTGTTTCCCTACCCAATCCCCTTTCCCCACCAACTCACTGCAGTGCAAAAAGAATAATCTTGCTGATACAGGGTTGTGAGGTTGAATAAGCCACAACAATCAAAACTTCTTTCCAGTTCATCCCGGGTCTGGTTGCTCATGACCCACCAAGAAGCATTGATGACATCTGTCTGGAGGACATATAGGCAGAGGGAAATTACTTGATGCTGCTAACCTTAAGGATCTCCCTACAATTTGACTGCAGTTCAGGTGCCTCAATTTACCTATTCCAGCAAAGGGGGTCAACATCCTTCAGGGGGAAAAGAAAAAAGTATCAATTATACAGACTCAGTGATAAATATCCACTTAAGTTCTCCTAGCTCCTCAAGTAAAATGAGCCAGACACTCTAGAGGAGGCAAATGGCTAAGGGTCTAAGTAGGAGATCTAAGACTGTTCTTTGGGGCCAGGCTGGCAGGAAGTTAGGGGGGAAATGCAGATGCTCGAAAGGGCATCCTCTTACCTGTTTGCTTCGGTTAATGGCCAGACATGAGCAAGAGACTGCAAACTGGAAAACGAAGACCAAACCAAGGATGATCATGTACTGAGAGGCAGAGTTAAGGGAAAAAAAGTCCTAGATTCCATTTTGTTTTACCTGTAACTACTGTGTGATCTCATCTGTTTATACAACTTACACATGTAAATTGGAAACAAAATCACCAGCTTTGTTTTCATAGAGACACGTTCCCCAAGATCCCTGAGGGTCTAATTTCTTCACAGACCACTCGGCCCTCCCAAGAGCCCTACTGCCCCATCACTTCAGGTCAGGATACAAAGAAGAGCAATACTTGGTGGTGGTTAACAGCGCCCACCAGTCCAGCCACAGCGATGAGAAGAAGGAAGACTCCCACAGCAATGACTCCGCCGATGATATGGATGCTGGACACCAGACCCAGGCCCTTACCCCAAGCAGCCACTCCAATGAGCAACAAACCTACCAGCTACGGGAAACAGAAAGCAGGATACATCTCAATTCTAGCGTGCAGCACAGCCAATGGCCATACAGGGCACCGGGGAAAAAAAGAAGAGGGCGTGTTATGGGGACCTGGAACGACCCTGGGCACCCCTCCCATCGGAAATCAGAATGGCTGGAATGGAAATGGGGAGTATGGCAGGGATAGTAATCTATGAATATAACTTTAGCTTCATCCATCACTTTCCTACTTTGGGAGAAACTGAGTTGCACAGAAAAGAGGGATGGGCCTCTGTGCTCAGAGCCCCCAGTTCATCTCCCCGACCACCGAACAAATCCTCTGATCACCGGAAGTCTACCCCCTTCCCACGGAAGTCCCCAGGAATTCCGTCTTCGCCGGAAGTTCCTAGGAATCTTCCCGGAATACCCAGTACACCCTTCTCCCCACCGGAAGTCCCCTGGAGAATCTCTCCACTCGCCTTTCCGCCCTGAAGCTTCCCCCACCTCCAAAACCTCACCATGTAAACCACGTTGAGCGCGCACAGTGCGTTCTTGGAGCAGGCAAAGCCACCGCAAACCATCTCCCCAGCTTTGGGGACCGAAGTGGTCCCAAGGACTTAGGGAGAGGGTCTTAGAGACGGCGTTCTTGGGCCCCGACGCTTCTGTCTCTTTAAATCTAGTTCAGCCAAACCCAATTCTCTGCGCCTGCACCTTCCCACCCCTTCCTCTGGATTGGTGAGATTCTCGGCTAATCCAGGACGTGGATGGACTGGATGCCAATCAATCTGCATTGCGTTACTGACTCGCCTCTCGGCCCCTCCTTTAGGTTCTTTATAGGATGAAACTTAAAACTGGAGGCAGGGTTTGCAAAGGTTCTCGTAGGGATCAGATCCTAAACTTCGAAACCCCGGATTGAAGGCGAAGCTTTCCTTGGTCGCAGTTGGAAAAGTGCTAACCCGAGAGCGGAAGCTCTGGGGAAAACTACGGTGAAGAAAGAGAAGGTGCGAATTCGCCGTTTCCCTTTTTCCTGCAGTGACCTCATGATGATGCCATTGTTTGTTATTATTTCATCACACTCGGGAACACCCGGAGGAGCAAACTATTGAGCCCAGCCACAGAGGCCCTGTGTTGGGCACAGCTACAGCCAGCCAATCCTTACACGGTTGCAAGCATGTCCACTAGTACACATGTCCTGTTCTATACCCGCCCCCCCTCCGCCTCCGCCCTTCCCTAACGGGTGTGAATTGTGCTGGAAATTAAACGTAAAAAACAGCAGCCTTGGCCGGGGTATTGCTGTGAGAAAGCCACAAGTACAGACTTGAGTGTGCCCCCGTCGAAAATGACGAGGGATCTGGAATATGAATAAATCTGAGAGTAAGAGGGAGTCTCCATAGTTTCACTCTGGGGTGGGCACAGTGATTGGTTGATCAACATGTGTTCATTACTGAATTCGTGCTTTGGCACACTGCCATTTTTTTAAAGGTTTTATTTATTTATTTTTAGAGAGGGGGGGAGGGAGGAAGAAGGAGAAAAACGTCGACGTGCGGTTGCCTCTCGCACGCCCCCAGCTGGGGACCTGGCCCACAATCCACACATGTGCCCTAACTGGGAATCCAACAGGCAACCTTTCAGTTGGCAGGCAAGCACACAGTCCACACTGGCCAGGGCTGACACCTTGCGCTTTTTATGGGAATGGGAAAAGACAAAGAAGCAGTCTTGGTATGAACACAAATGAAAAATCTCCCTTCAATCCCGCAGAACAATTTAATGTGTGTACGTGGATTCTGTGACTGCATACACAGCTGATAGTTTATTGCTAGTCAGACTGCATGGGTTCCAACTTTGCCACCCACTGTGTAACCTTTGGCCAGTTAATTAAGCTTTTTGTACCTGTTTCCTCATCTGTAAAGTGGGAATAAATGATAATACACCTACCCCTTGGGCTGTTGTGAGGATTGAACGAGTTAATGTATGTAGAATGCTTGGGACAGTACCTGACACATAGTAAATACTCAGTGTTAGTTATTGTTCAGACTATTTTACAGGTTCCAGTGGGTAATTTCAACCTCAATTCCCTTATCTCCAGCTATGGAATATTCACATAGTTATAATCCTCTATCTTTCATAAGTTAATATCAAGAACATATGCAAGAGAAGAGACATTTGGCAGGGCCAGAAAGGAGTCTTGAAACAAATTAGTAATTAGTAATTAAATCAAACTATCTACCATTTCCACCGCCCCCCAGTCCTCCCTGAATTTTCATTCAGTCCTTCAATTCCTCATCCACCCTCTTCTCTTTCAAGTCTGAAACCAAGGGCAAGACAATTTCAAGTCCTAAACCAAGGGGGACTGGTTGGCAAGTATCTTGGGTGGTGTAATGAAAGGTTATGAGAATTATAATCAGAAGACCTAGAGCCATGTTTTTGTTTAACCTTTTACTGGTCTCTCTGAGCTTCAGTTCTTTTTGCTGCAGACTAGGGATAATAATCCTACCCCTTGGGCCTGTCATAAAGATGATACATATGAAGGTGTGTTGTAAACTATTGTGTTATAGACAAGTTAATTATCATGAAAGTAATTGAACATGGAGCATGGTGGTTTGGGCAGTTATAGATTACTGTCCTCTTCCATAACCTGTTCTCCCCATAACTGCTTGGCTCTTTTAATCAGGAGGTGGTTGCAGTGGGGTAGCTGACCCAGGAAGGGTTACATTGCAAAATATAAGTATACATTCTCTTTGGATGTGTATAGAGTGGGTGGTGATTACAAATATAAACAGGAATGCAGGGCTGTAAGAGTGGCAGGCCTAGTGTGTATAGATTCCTGTGAGAATTTGAGACTGAACACAAATCTGTAGGTCACCAAGAGTTTGGGATTGCACCTGGGACCTGGCTTGCCACATTCTCCCAGCACCAACACCCATTTTAATTAGCCACCTCCCACAGGAGGCCCTAGGATGTGTGATGCTTGTTAAGGTCTCTACCTCCACCTGGCTGGGGAATCTTAGCAGAGGCTGGCTGGTAGAGCTGATGGGCCAACGCTAGGGGGGGTGGCTCATGCAGGAGGTAGTGCTGTCCCAGGCTGTGGGTTTGAAACTCACCAGTCAGGAAGTGAGGCCGACAGACGGAAGGGCGGGCAGGGGCGGGGAGTTCTGGGGAACAGCAGAAGGGGCCTTCTAGGGTTCAGGGGCTGCAGGGCCATGGGCTTCGGGGCCAGAGGTTGCTGTTAGCCTGGCAAGACAGGACCGGGTAACATGCATGCCCAAAGGCAGTTGGCTGTAGCTGCAGTGAGAGCAGAAGTCAGACGACATGAGGTAGCCAAGCAGGCTCTAAACCGCCTCAGGAAACTGGCAGAGAAGGTGAGCGATTCAGAACTTCGGGACAGCATCCAGACCTCACTGAACAGCGTACAAGGTAAGAGAAGGGTTAGGTCCCAACTTGGGTGTATCAGGGACCAGCAGGGGCACAAAAGGGTTTGTTGGGTCATACATCGTTTCTCAATCAGCCACTGCCTCGTAGCTTCCAAGATGGAGCCGGGATTCAGGGACAGAATACATTTGGAAAGGATGGAAAAAAATAGGGGAGGTGTCATTCTTTCTCTCTCCCCAACTATGATTCTTCTCCCCGGGGATCAAAATACAGGTCACCGCTGAGCTGACCTTGGAAATGGAGAAGTGGATGAGCATGGGGAAGACAGGCTCTGACAGACCCATGGTAGACTTGGACCCTGCCTGGGGAGGCCGGGGCAGGAAGCAGCCTAGGGCAGGAGGTTCTGGGACTGGATAATGTGTTCATTCCCAGGACCCATGAGGGATCAGTGACCTCTTGTTCTCCAGCTGTAGAAAGAAACACACACACAAATATGTACACACATTAAAATCACCACACAGAGAATCTCAGGCTTCCAGGCACACACTAACATTCACACAGCGTGCTCTGCCCAGCTGAAGTGCAGAGGAGTCCCCAGGCCTCTTCTCAGTTCCCTCTCTTCCCCATGCTCCTGTTTCTGTCTTCCCCCAACACACCTTCCGCTCTACCTCCTTAGTGCCATTAGAGCAAGTGATGACAGTACAGGAAGGAAGTGCTGCCATGGCAACACCATCCACCACATCCTCCTGCCCACCCCAGCCTTCAGTCCTGTGGTGGGGCCCTGGCAGGAACAGCTCATCCATCCACCAGGCACTACCACCAAGGAGCTGATGGAACTGGAGTTCTCTCTGGACTGTTCTCATCTCATTACCTCCGTGGAGGCAAAGAACTAACAAAAGTGGGCTCTTTGGCTCATGAAAGGTGTCTAGGAGAAACACATCCTCCATCATATCCTGGTCTCTTTCAGCCTCTCCGTTCTTAGCCACCTACTTGGGGGTGGCAGGTGGGGGCAGTCAAGAAGCCATTCTTTCCATCAAGGATACCTTCTACCGGATCGCTCTGCTGGTAAAGGCCACGAGAGCATAACTTGGAGAAGGAACAGTTTGGTCCCAGTTCCTAAGGGAACAGTCTGATGGTACCCTTCCCATTGCCTTTCTGAGGCTAGTGCCTCCCGTCCCCCACCTCTTGACAAGAACTACAGCTAACACCTCTCCTACAGCATTAATTGTTGGAAAGGCAGACCTAGGGGGAGTGGCCCCACAGAGACTTCAAGGGAGGCAATCCAAGCGCCACCCCTGTAGAAAAAAAGGTGGAGGGACTAGATGTGTTAGGTCAGGTAGAGGAGCTCTGCTTAGCTCTGGAGAAGGAGGGAATGAGGAGGGATATAGGCAGAAATCTCTGAGAAGACTCCACCCTCCGTGAGTGATTTGTTTCATTCTGGCCCTAAGAGTCAGGATTCTGTTCCCTTTGAATATAAAGGAAAACTGAGGCTACCAACGGAAAAAAGAAAAATTAAGCCAGGATCGAAACCTCCATCACTCTTTCAGAAGAGACTACTGAAGAGACTCCTGTCCTGGGGATGGTGTCATCCTGGTGCTGCTGAGGCAGAGGTGGGGTGGGGCACTGGGCAAGAAGCTGCTGACCTTGGGACCGGCCAGCGGAGGGACTGGGTACAGGTCTTGGGGAAAACAAAGGGCACCCAGCATCTCGGTACGCCCCCCCACCCTCAACCCCTACCAGGCCTGAGCGCACTGCCGGCTCCTGCCTCCAAGAGCCGCCCACGACTGCACTATTATAGTCTCGGCTGCGTCAGGAGGATGGGACGCCAAATTAGGGGAACGCTGAGACTCCCTGAGTCCAGGAGTGTGGGGAGGCCTCCCACCCCTGCTGGGTCTTGGCCTCTGTCCCCCAGAGATCTAACCCTTTAATCCTTCCTCCTGGGCTTGAGGACAGTAAGCCTCGAATTCCTGGGTCCCTAGAGGGGTGGGAGATACAGAGCAGACGTTTTCCTCTTTAACCTTCTAAACGAGCCCCACCCCAAAAATCTCAGGAGACCGAACAGGAACCCAAAAGAAGCTGGCTCCTGCTGCCTCAGCTGAGAGGCTCCTCATATGCGGGGGCGCTAAATATCCCACATGTGGGTAACCAGATGTGAGGATGGTGCCTCCATGAACCCCAAATTCCATGGCAGACCCCCCCACACACCACCATAAACATCGATCCCTCCTGTCTGCTTATCCCCGCTGTTTCTGAGGCACTCTTGGAGCTACGGTTGCTATGGAGACCGTGCATTTTGGTATGGGGGGGTGTCAATCTGTAGATATATTCCTTCTCCTTCTACCTCGAGCTGAAGCCTTTGATTCACTTTTCAGCCTGGGCTCCTCCGAGCCCCCAGATGTCTGCATGGACAATTCTGAACGTGAGGCATGAGGCAGCCCCCTTCCTCCTATTCTGCTAAGTTCCATGGTTGTCCCCATCTCCAGGGAACACTTTTCAAGTTCACTTTGGGACAGTTGGGTTCAAAGCGTGGCCCCATCGATGTACTGCGTGAGAGGGTGTGGAGGTGGTCGAGGCGGCTGGGTTATGGGGAAAGGAACGCATGCAAGAACCTGGGGGGAGATAAGCAAGGTCCTGGGAAAGGGATTTCAGGGTTCTCCACTTCCCAACTTCAGCTTCTCCAGAATTAGCAGTGACCCCGAATTTGCTCCGTTTTCGCGGCGGACTGCTCACCCGTAGACTGATTTTTGCCTTAAGTCCTGAAATGCCACACCCAACAGTCGCGCTCCCTAACTGCTGTGCTAGGGGAGGGGGCTAGATTGTCGGGAGTAGGTAAATCCAAGTTCCAGGAAATCCAGCCCAGGGTTTGGGAGGGAAATCCAGTCCTGGATTTTGCACCGCCTTCGCAGACAGCAGAGCTGGTAGAGAGAAGGTGGGGGGATGATGGGGGGGGCTGCCTCCTCCCCAATGTGAGGGGAGCGCCCGGACACAGCGCGCATCCGGACCCAGCCGAGCCCCGGCGAGCCCCCCCGGACCCTTCGTCCGGATCTCACGCCCCTCCCCTCCCAGACCCTATACCCGTGGGTTCCCACCCCCTTCGGCTTCCCTCCTTCCTCCCCCGCCGGCGTCTGTATCTCCATCCCCAGCATCCTCCCCTTGCCCCTGCGAATCCCCCGCACGACCAGCCCCATTAGCTTCCCACCCTCCTAAAGACCCCCTCTCCGATCCCCATCCGCGGCCTCTGTCCCTTTAGTCCCATTCCCCGCCTCTGCCGCCCCCGCACCGGTTCTCCTTCTCCCTCAGCCTCAGGTCCCCCTGTTCTGCCCCCTTTCCCTCCCTGTCCCCTATTTGCCCCCCACTACTGTCTTCCCCGCCCTCCCCCGCCCATCTCAGCGCCCCCACCCAGGCCGGGGTGCACGGTCCGGCGCGCCTCCCTGGAGCAGCACCAAGGTCCCGGGGCTCCGACGGGGTGGGGGCGCAGGGCGGGGAGCATGGGGAGGGGGCGCCCCGTGTGATGGGAGGGGGGCGCAAGCGGAGGCGGCGGAGGCGGCGGCGACAGAGGAGCCGGGCCGGGGGCTCAGCGGGGTCCGGGGGCTGGGGGCAGCGAGCAGGGCGGCCCCATGGCCGGGCCCCCCTGAGGCAGTCCGGGGGACTCCTCTCCCCTCCCCAGCTCGGGGGTCTCGGGGCCCCATGAGCCGGGGCGCGGGCGCGCTTCAGCGCCGGACAACGACCTACCTCATCTCGCTGACCCTGGTCAAGCTCGAGTCGGTGCCTCCGCCGCCGCCTTCTCCGTCTGCGGCCGCAGCGGGCGCCCCCGGGACCAGAGGTGCGGAGACCGGGGATCCTGGCAGCCCCCGAGGCGCGGAGGAGCCGGGCAAGAAGCGGCATGAGCGTCTCTTCCACCGGCAGGATGCGCTGTGGATCAGCACAAGCAGCGCGGGCGCCGGGGGCGCCGAGGGCGCCGAGACCCCCGCCCTGTCCCCGGCTCCCGCCAGTCCGGCCCGCCCCGTCTCCCCCGCTCCCGGCCGCCGCCTCTCCCTCTGGGCCGCCCCTCCGGGGCCCCCGCTTTCCGGGGGGCTGAGCCCCGACCCCAAGCCCGGAGCTGGCCCCACCTCCACCCGGCGCCCCCTGCTCAGCAGCCCGAGCTGGGGGGGCCCAGAGCCTGAAGGCCGGGCGGGAGGCGGCGTCCCCGGCTCGTCTTCCCCGCACCCGGGCACTGGCACCCGGAGGCTTAAGGTGGCGCCTCCTCCACCGGCTCCCAAGCCTTGCAAGACCGTGACCACGAGTGGCGCCAAAGCCGGCGGGGGCAAGGGCGCGGGTAGCCGCCTGTCGTGGCCCGAAAGCGAGGGCAAGCCTAAGGTCAAGGGGTCAAAGAGCAGCGCCGGGACTGGAGCTGCTGCCGCTGCCGCTGCCGGGGCAGGGGGAGCTGCAGCCACGACCTCTGGTGGAGTCGGGGCTGGGCCCGGAGCCCGAGGGAAGCTGTCCCCTCGGAAAGGCAAGAGTAAGACCTTGGACAACAGTGACTTGCACCCGGGACCACCTGCGGGCTCTCCTCCTCCATTAACCATCCCAGCAACCCCGGCTCCAGCCACTATTGTCACCGCCGCCTCCGCGCAGCCAACTGGGCCTGCACCTCCAATCACTCTGGAGCCTCCAGCTCCGGGGCTGAAACGGGGCCGGGAGGGGGGCCGAGCATCCACTCGGGATCGCAAGATGCTCAAGTTTATCAGCGGCATCTTCACCAAGAGCACAGGGGGGCCTCCTGGTTCCGGGCCCCCTCCTGGACCCTCAGGCCTGTCTTCTGGCAGCGGGTCCAGGGAGCTGCTGGGCACAGAGCTCCGCACCTCCCCTAGTGAGTAGGACCAGGGTCTGAGAACCGGGAGGGGAGGGCACCTGGAATGCTCAGCTTGGGTTGGGGGAGCCATATGCAGCACTGAACTAGGGAAGCTTCTCTCTTGGGTGGGCAGAGCAACCAGGCTGACTTCTCTGCCAAAGACCTGGGTCCAGAATAAGAGGTCCTGAGGGGGGTGAGTAGCTACCGTGCGTGACAGGAGAAATGACGATTTCAGAGGGACTCAGTGATGCCCTTGGTCAGAGTGACTGTAGGAAATTGCTCTCACAGAAACCCCAGACCCCAGTTCCAGCCTCAGCTGGAATCTGGGAGCATAGAAACAGGACTTGGCCTTGCCCAGAGGGACGCTGAAGGGGAAGGGGGTTAGGAAGCCTCAGTTTATGCTGACCACTTGGGGCAGGTGGCATGAAAGTGACCTTGCAGGCAGCTCCTGGCCAGGGACAGGTCTCCCCCTGGGCTGAGAACAGTCTAGGAGGCAGCAAGAGGGGTCTCTGTTTCTTTCCACGCAGCAAAGGCGGATTGGGCAGTGAGGGAGTGCGTGGGGACTGGATCGAGCTGAACACTTGACTGTGAAGTGAGAGGGGGTGGATAGGAAGCCTCACTTCCCCCACTGCCCACCCAGAGCCTAACTGAACTCCCCCAGGGGGCTGACCAGGAGTGACTCAAGGGGGCGGAGCTGCTGCAAAGGCAATTCTTACCCCCTGGGGACTTGGGAGGGGGTACGGAGACGGTAGCTGTTTCTTTCAAGGGGAGGGGGATGTCTTGATTTCTTTTCTTTTCTTTTCTTTTCTTTTCTTTTCTTTGGAAGAGAGGCGAGGGACTCATGGTTCGGCTCACACTCCCGGAGGGGAGGCAGGTCCGGGAGCGGGGGCGGCCCCGGGTTTGGCTCTGGAGCGGGTGGGAGCAGATGGCTCCGGATCCCAGAGTTCCCGCCGCAGCTGCGGCACCCCGGGAACGTCCGGCCGGTGTCAGGCGCGGGGGCTGAACCCGGGGGCGGCGGCGGGCGGCGGGCGGAAGGAGCGTCCATCCTCCTCCCGCTCCTCCAGGCCTGTGGCTTCTCTTGGCCAGGGATTGAAGCCCTTCCCCACAGTTCTTTTGGGGGATGCTTCTGGGGAGGGTTATGGAAGAAGGAGGCTCAGAAAATCCAAGCACCGCGTCTTGGGCTGTGGGAAGGAGTCAGGCCTCCAGGCCACCGACCTGGAAAAAGGGAAGGCATATCCCTCACCTCAGTTTCTCTCCTGTGAAATGAAGATTGAGGAAGACTCACTCCCTTCTGTGTCCCAGCCCCTCCTCCCACGGTCTCTCCTGGTATTCAGACAGGCCTTTGGGCAGGAGACCCTCTTATGTTCTCCTTCCAGAGGGAAGGACCCACCACTGTCAGAGTCCTGGTCCCCAGGTCTGGGGCAGGGATTTACGTTTGGGGATGTGTTTTAAGGGAGATGCCAACTGAAGTATTTTCGGCTTGCTGACTCCGTTGCTAAGCAACCACTGAGCGGCAGCAACAGCTGTGGAGAGAGCTGGCTAGGATGGGAGGACTGGGGACCACTCTCAAACCTAGTCTTTCCACACAGCTTCCCAGCCCGGACAGGGTCCTGAGGGTTAAGGAAAACTGCAAAAGGGGGAGGGGAGGCTGAGTGTTGGGAGTCCTCCTGGGCCTGGAATGTCCCCTCTTATGGCTCCTTTCCCATTACAGAGGCTGTGGTCAATAGCCAGGAATGGACTTTGAGTCGCTCCATTCCTGAACTGCGCCTGGTAGGTAACCCAGCCCCCTTGTCTGCAGAAAGGCTTGCTGCCTGCCCACTGCATTCTCAGCCCTCTTGCCTTTATCTCCTCCTTTCCCTCGCTCTGTGAGAATTGGGAATAGATTTTAGTTCTCCTGAGATTCTACCTTCATAGCACCTTCCTGAGGCTTGATACATCCTCACAACGTTTTCTTCTTCAGTCTCCTTTTCTGTTTATCCATGACTATCTTCCACGCTTCTCCTCATTTCTGATATCTCTCATATAGCCTTTCATGTTCTACTGCCAAAAATTGGGTTAAACTTTTCAACCAGTGCCTAGGGCTGTAACATGCCTCCCTACCCCCATACACACATCTAGTATGTTTTCTAAACAGCACAACACACACATACAAATTGTGCTGAGTTGCTGACATTCCACAGCTCATGGATCACTTTGAGCTTGGGGACATTTCTTGCCACATACCTAGCTTGATCCTCCCAAATGTTCTCCACTGCGTGCCGTCCAAGCCCTGTAGGGCCCTCCTTGGATGATTTCACACTGCCAGTCTCTTTAAGTTCTCCAGTCTCAAGCATCCCTCCTCCCCTTCATTCCCACAATCTCTACTCTACAACCTTGTCCTCAGGGTGTGCTGGGTGACGCCAGGAGTGGGAAGTCATCGCTCATCCATCGATTCCTGACCGGTTCATACCAGGTGCTGGAGAAGACAGAGAGTGAGTTCTCGGAAGCCACAGTAAAGTAAAGATTGGGGTCAGGGATCCAGATCAGTGACCGGGAGATGTGATCAATGACTAGGCAGATGTGGAGACCCGATGGAAGGATGAAGCCATGACAGCTAAAGTAGAGGAATCGTGGGGTGGTCTGGTGGCCTGTGACTGACCTGCCACTTCCAACCCTTCTGGACAGGTGAGCAGCACAAGAAAGAGATGTTGGTAGACGGACAGACTCATCTGGTGTTGATCCGAGAGGAAGCTGGGGCACCTGATGCCAAGGTGAGGGGTGAGGTATGGGGTAGGCAGGCTGGCTGGGGTCAGCGCTGGCCAAGGGAGGGGACTCTGGTTTCCCAGGTCTAACTGGGAATATCATCCAGAGAAGTGGACTTGTTTGACCCTCTATTTGCTCCCTCAACCGCCGCAAGTTCTCAGGCTGGGCAGATGCTGTGATCTTGGTCTTCAGCCTGGAGGATGAGAATAGTTTCCAGGCCGTGAGCCGTCTCCACGGGCAGCTGAGCTCCCTCCGGGGGGAGGGACGAGGAGGCCTGGCGCTGGCACTGGTGGGGACACAAGGTAAGGAGGGGCTGGGAAGGCACTACTGACAGCTACTGGGGTATTGCCCAACAGACGAGAGAACTTGGTAAGGAGTGCAAATGGCCACGTGGAGTCCAGTTATCTTCTAGAGGAAGCCTGGCCTCCAGATAAGAGAGCCATTAAACCAACCCAAATTTCCCAAGACCTGACCAGAGAAAAGGAGACTCCAGAGAGGGAGGGACGCTGGAGTGGCAGTCTGCTGTCTCCTACACGTCAGAGACCTTGTGCTCTTTCACTGCCATTTCCTGATGCCACCACTATGGGAAACAAAATCTCAGGCGCTAGTGTGGATAGAAAGCCTTTTCCATCTCTCTCTTGCTGGGTTGGGCCGACACTTTTCAAAGGAGCTTCTTTAAAACAAAGAGAAAACACAAATGAAATGAGGGCGAAAACACAAAGGGCAGAAAACATTTCCGTTCTCAAAGAAGTGATTCAGAGGGGCTCAGACTGTCCACCAGAGCCCGGGGAGGCCTCTCCGCGGCCCACCTGCGTCGGGCTGGCAGGACTCTCTCTCTGGACGCCTATCCAGCAGGTGCCTGCTCCCACCTGTCGCTTGCCTCCAGGTTCCCTGCGGCAGAGTGAGCAGCCCACCTGTTACCCATGGAATTCATCCTTTTCCCACTTCACATGCCAGGTGTTCTCCTACTCGGCTCAGGGTTCCCTGGATTTGCAGGACAGGGTGATTGTCACTTGTGAGTCTCAGCCATTTTAGACCTCGCCAGGAAGCTCCACTCAACTCTGGAGCATTTTTTAAAAGACACACAGAGTGCACCCCGCCTACTCATAATGCAGTTGGACATGTGAGCTGGGCCCAGCACTTAAAAAAGGATTACGTACTCCATTCCACCCTGGAGCCCAAGGGAAAGGAAAGCAGGAAAAATGGGGGAGAGGTCCCAGTCCTGCTTCTTTCCTGTCCCCTCAGACAGGATCAGTGCTTCCTCCCCTCGTGTTGTGGGCGACGCTCGTGCCAGAGCTCTGTGTGCGGATATGAAACGCTGCAGCTACTACGAGACTTGTGCAACCTATGGCCTCAACGTGGACCGGGTCTTCCAGGAGGGTGAGTGTGGTGATCCCAGCATATGTGCGAACAGAACTAGAGGCCTAGGGTATTCTTAGACGTTGCGCAGCCAGGCCTCTCTCTGAGTGATAGGCCATTTGCCTGCGTGGGAGGGAGGAGGGAACAAGGAGGTCGGAGAAGTTTAGCTTCATAGCCACGAGGTCCTCCTGGGCTGGAGGAGCTGGCAAGGTGACATGTGGCATGAAGGCCACAGTGACAAGAAAGTAGGTGCCTATGTTATCTCTTGGGGATTTCTCAAAGCTGGGCACCAAAGGGTGTTCTTGGGGATCTGCTCTGCTCACACCCCTTCCCTCTCTCCACCTCAGTGGCCCAGAAGGTGGTGACCTTGCGCAAACAGCAACAGCTTCTGGCTGCCTGCAAGTCCCTACCCAGCTCCCCAAGCCACTCAGCTGCTTCCACCCCCGTAGCTGGGCAGGTGAGTTGGTGTTTCAGGGTCCACGGAGGGACTGGTAAGAGTCAGAGGAGTGGCTGGTGACCCAAGGACAAGCGCAGAGCACCCAAGGAGGTTGTGGGAGGAGGCAGGTGGAAAGCGTGGTGACACCATTTGTAGCAAGTGCATTGGACTGGAGAGTGACAAAGGTTTGAAACACTGTTTGCGATGTCCTTGAGCAAGTGACCTAAACCTCCCAAGGTTGTTAGGAAGATTATAAGGCATAAAACTTGTGAAGTCAACTTTGTAAAATCTATAGCACTGTGACAACGCCAGTGAGGAGTTTTATTATTAACGCTAATACAAATAAATGGTGATGAGATCAAAAACGTTCTCCGATTTCTCATAAACAGATGTAGCTGCAGCTTGGTGGGGTGGGAGCACCTCAGCTGTTTTTACTTCTCCAGGCTAGTAACGGGGGCCACACTAGCGACTACTCTTCTTCCCTCCCGTCCTCACCCAATGTCGGTCACCGTGAGCTCCGAGCTGAGGCCGCTGCGGTGGCTGGACTGAGCACCCCCGGGTCTCTGCACCGGGCAGCCAAGCGCAGGACCAGCCTTTTCGCGGTATTGGACATGCCGATCCCCATCCCCGCCCCTTGTTACCTGCCCATCTTCTCTGGACCCTAGACCCCTCTGTTGGGCCCTTTTTCATCTGTCTTCCCTGTACTTTCATCAGTGTGTCCCTCCACCCATCCTCTAACTGATGCCAATAACCACTCCAGAACCGTCGGGGCAGTGACTCTGAGAAGCGGAGCTTGGACAGTCGGGGAGAGACAACAGGGAGTGGGCGAGCCATCCCCATTAAACAGGTCGGTGGTCCAGAAGCTGAGGGCAGGCCGGGGGTAGCTGGTCTTAAATGGCTTTTCATCCACATCTTTTTCCATATTACAGAGCTTCCTACTAAAGCGAAGTGGCAACTCCTTGAACAAAGAATGGAAGAAGAAATATGTGACCCTGTCCAGTAACGGTTTCCTACTTTACCACCCCAGCATTAACGTGAGTGGCAGAGGCTGGCTGGGCTACACTGGCTGGTCTTAGACGCCCTTCCAGCTCTGCAAGTCCGTGCCTCTGACAAACACTAACATCATTTCTGGAAAGCTCGCCCCGTTCTCTTAAGTTTAGCAAGCATATTCAAGGTTAGGCGCCTCTCATGTAACCATGCTGGGGGTGAAACGGGGACTCTATCTCCCCAGGAGTTTTCAGTCTAGTGGGAGAGCAAGGAGAAAGCACCTCCGCCTGGCCTGTCATTCGGGGAATGCTTTCCCTGAATGGAGGAGACAGTGCTGGGCCGAGTCTGTTTGGCTCGTGCCGTAGAAGCCCATCCCCATCGTCAGTTCCCAGGGCCCCCCTCCAGTCCCTCTTTATTCCCTACTGTTGGTTGCTTCCGAGCAGCACCAAGGACCCCAGCCTTCCCTATACTCTCAACCCCGTGCCCCTCCAGGACTACATCCATAGTACCCATGGCAAGGAGATGGACTTGCTACGAACAACAGTCAAAGTCCCTGGCAAGCGCCCCCCACGAGCCATCTCTGCTTTTGGCCCCTCGGCCAGCATCAATGGGCTGGTCAAGGACATGAGCACTGTCCAGATGGGCGAAGGCCCTGGTGAGTGGGGCTCATGACAAAGGGGAAGGAGAGGGGCCGTGGCTAGGGACAAAGGAGGGGTAGTGGAGAAGCAGGGGCTGGAACTGGTTAAGTGAGAAAGTGGGCGGTAAGGAAGTACCACTAAGGCATGGGACCCAGGGACTGAGTGGCTCACTGAGGTTTTTATCTTCTCCTTCCAACAGAAGCCACTACTCCCACCCCAAGCCCAAGCCCCAGCCCCAGTTCCCTGCAGCCACCACCAGACCAGACATCCAAGCACCTGCTGAAACCAGACCGGAACTTGGCCCGAGCCCTCAGCACTGGTCAGTGAGGACCCCCCTCCATCATTGTCTTTCAAACCCAAATGGGATGCGGGTGGGAAGTGAAATTGGAGTGGGAGCTTGGAGGCTGGAATCCAATGCATGAGTGGACACACTGAGCATCTGCCGGGTGCCAGGCACCAAGCCTGGCATTACCGTCTTCATTGTAGGGTTTAAAACGAGTGGGTTCTAGAACTGAACTGCCTGAACTTGAATCCTGGCTTGCCACTTGGGCAAGCTGCCTGGCATCTCCATGCCTAGGTTTCCTTGTTTATAAAATGGAGATAATAGTTTCTACCTGAGAGGGTTGTTTTAAGGCCTAAACGAACTGAGAGCATTGTCCAGCTCACAGCATTCAGTGTTTGGAAGTTTGGAAATCACACACACACACACACAACACTTTATTTACTTAAAAGAGCAAGTAACATTGTAGCAAGCAATCCTCACAACAACCTTGCCAGGTCAAGATTATTATCCCCATTTTAGGGATGAAGAAACTGAGGCTCAGAAGATTAAATGACTTGCTCAAGGTCTCAAGGCCAGTAAGTGGCAGAGTCAGGATCTGAGTACAGGTCTGACTGTCAACCACTCATGTGCCCACCTCCTCAGGAGTAATTAAGGGGGACCTGCTGGAGGGGGCCAGCGGGGAAGAGGGACACTGAAATGCCAGAGCTAGTCCAGGGGAGGAGACAGGCTATGTGAAATCAGGAAATCTGTGGAGGGGGCAACTGAAGCAGCTGTGTCCCCCTCCCTAAGACTGTACGCCATCCGGAGACCTGAGCCCCCTGAGTCGGGAGCCTCCTCCTTCTCCTATGGTGAAGAAGCAGAGGAGGAAAAAACTGACAACACCGTCCAAGACTGAAGGCTCGGCAGGGCAGGCTGAAGGTGAGGCCCTAGTGGGCAGTTGCACTCCCACGCTGGACCCTCACCCCCAACTCCAGATCCCTGGCCTGGTTCCTCCAGGGAGAGGAAAAGTGCTTGAGCTGAGTGCTTGACTACCATTACCATTTTGCACATAATTTAGTGAAAAAATGGATGGACACCCCTCAGCCCTCGGCCTTCCCCCCATTGCCCCGTCACTGCCTTTTACCCCAGCAGTCCCCAGCCCCGCGCGCAACGGCCTCCACGAGTCTGCAGGTCTCGCTTACTCTCCTAATGACCCTCTAGTTCCTGTTCCTGCCCTCAACTCTGCTTACCACCCCAGCTCCTGCACCCAGAAGCCCCCGTGGTCCCCCAGGAACTCAGCCCCTGACCTCAGTGTCCCCCATTGACTCCTCAGCTCCTGGACTCTGTGACCACCCAGCCCCTGTTCCCAGTAACTTCCTATGATCGCCAAGCTCCCCTGACAACTCTTGACCACAGTGATACCCATTCCTGAACCCAGTGAAGCCCCCAGGCCCTCAAGACTTCTGAACTCCAGGCCCCCTCATCCCAGGCCTGTGACCTACCTTCTGGACCCTTTCCCCATGTTTACTCAGATCCTGACCATCCCTTCCCTTCCCAGAGACCCGGCTCTCCACTGGTCATGATAACTGGTCCCTACTGCCCCTGCTCTCTGCTGGGTGCTCAGACCCAGGTTCCAGATCTGCCTGCTCTCATGGCTCTTGGCTTCCGCTCTACTCTGCTCCGGGGCCACTGACTTTAGTTCTGCTTTCTCTCCCCATCTGTCTGTCCTGCTTTGTCTCTGGCACTCTGTCACTCTCTCTCCATCTCTCTGCCTCTTTTTCTCCTTCTCTCTTGGTCTCTTTTTCCGTTCTGCTCTCTATTCTATCTCTATCTCCTTCGCTTCGGGAAACCAGCCAAGCGCAAAATGTGGAAACTAAAATCCTTTGGTAGTTTAAGAAATATTTATAAAGCAGGTAACAAGCGGGGAGCTGGGAGGGGTGCTCAGCTGGGGTGCAGAGGGATGGGGGTGCCCCTGCCTTCCCCTGCATGTGCTCGGGCTTCCTGCTCTCCCCCACCCTCTGCTTCCCCAGCCCCTCCGCCCCACTCCCAGGGGCTTGGGATGGACATCAGGGGGGAAGGTTTGGGGAAGGCAGCCCCTGTTTGAACTCTGTCCCTCATGACCCTATCTCATCCCCCCACCCAGAGGAAAATTTCGAGTTCTTGATCGTGTCCAGCACTGGCCAGACGTGGCACTTTGAGGCAGCCAGTTTTGAGGAGCGGGATGCCTGGGTCCAGGCGATCGAAAGTCAGATCCTAGCCAGTCTGCAATGCTGTGAGAGCAGCAAGGTCAAGGTAATGGGGATGACAGGAGCTGGGGGTGGGGTGGGAAGCAGAGGTGTGTCTGAGGAGTCCGGAGAAGGGCTCCCTGGGAGAGTCAGTAGTAACCCCAGCCCTTTCTGCAGCTACGCACAGACAGCCAAAGCGAAGCCGTGGCTATCCAGGCGATTCGGAACGCCAAGGGGAACTCCATCTGCGTGGACTGCGGGGCCCCCAGTGAGCGCAAGGGGGCAGTAGAGGGGCCTGGGAGGGAGTGTGGTTCATCGGAGCTGGCGAATTCCCGGGCGCCCATTCTTGCTCTGCCGTGAGCCGACTTCTCACTCCTTCCTCAGACCCCACGTGGGCCAGCTTGAACCTGGGCGCACTCATCTGCATCGAGTGTTCTGGCATTCACCGGAACCTGGGAACACACCTGTCCCGCGTTCGCTCCCTGGACTTGGACGACTGGCCGCGGGAGCTGACCCTGGTGCTGACGGCCATTGGCAACGACATGGCCAACAGTGTGTGGGAGAGCGACACGCGGGGCCGAGCCAAACCCACGCGGGATTCCTCGCGGTATGTGCGAGGGCACAGACTGGTGTGTGAGGAGGGCTCCCCAGAGGGTGTCCTGGGTAGAGGTTCTTAGTGGGGGTCCCCAGGGCCTTTCCCATTGATCCCTGGTCTTGCAGGGAGGAGCGGGAGTCATGGATTCGGGCCAAGTACGAGCAGCTGCTGTTCCTGGCGCCGCTGGGCACGTCGGAGGAGCCGCTGGGCCGCCAGCTGTGGGCCGCAGTGCAGGCCCAGGACGTGGCTGCCGTTCTCCTGCTTCTGGCCCATGCGCGACACGGGCCGCTCGATACCAGCGTAGAGGACCCGCAGCTTCGCTCCCCACTTCACCTGGCAGCCGAGCTCGCCCACGTTGTCATCACGCAGCTGCTGCTGTGGGTGCGTGAGAGGGGAGTAGGTAAAGGGGTTTTGAGGGCTCCATCTCGGAAACAGCCCGGCAGGGGGAGCCTGGTATTCTCAAAGGGACCCTGGAAGTGAGCCTGGAAATCTTGGGGAGTGGCATGCAGGTGGCCTCCCGGGGCTGCGCGGTAACGCGGCCGTTTGCACCCCACAGTACGGAGCCGACGTGGCAGCCCGGGACTCCCAGGGCCGCACCGCGCTGTTCTACGCTCGCCAGGCTGGAAGCCAGCTGTGCGCAGACATCCTTCTCCAGCACGGCTGCCCGGGAGAGGGCGGCAGCACAGCCACCACGCCCAGCGCAGCCACCACTCCCAGCATTACCGCCACGCCCAGCCCCCACCGCCGGAGCAGCGCTGCCAGCATGGGTCGCGCCGACGCCCCTGTCGCGCTGGTATAGTTGCCCAGCGGTACAGACGTCCCCACTCCTTCACGGGCCGGGCACGACCGCACTGGGTGGACCGCTGGACAGATGCACCCACTCACCTCTCCAATCCGCACCCCACCCCATGGGAGCATTTCTTCCCCCCACGAGGGCACAGCCCCCACGCCTCCTAGGAGACACAAACTCACCTCCCTCTCCCCAAGAAGGCATGGAGATCCCAGCTCAATACGCCCCCTTGCCACTGTTTTCACACTGGGATTGCTCTGGGTCTACCTACTTGGTGTTTGAGGAAGGGGACCCGGCGCTTGCCTGCTCCTGGGCCAACTATGCCCACTCGCGCCCCCTAAGGGCGGGCTGGGGTGGGAGGAAGATCGAGTCCTGCCTGTGCTTGACAATCGCTAGGCAGGAGCACCTACCCAGGCTGGCTCCTGGGGCGACGCCAAGCCAGAGGGAGGGCTTAACATGTGGGAGGGCTAGCCCCGGGACGTGGGGCCAATACGGGGACCCCACCCTTCCACGCTAATCTCACTGCCCAGTGAAGGGGGAAGGGCAGCGAGGGGCAGGACCCCTGCTGCCCATGAGGGGTAGGGGGGTCCCCAACCCTTTCCGTGAAAGGGACCATGAGGAGTGGATATCAAGACGTCCCCCCAAACCCACCCATGGATGGAAGCTAAAGGGCTGGGGGAGCCAAGAGCCTGGGTCCCTCCTCACTACTATCTGAGGAGGGAGAAGGGATGGAGTAGGAGCGGGCTAAGGGGACTGGGGAGGGGCCTTGTAATTTATTGCTTTGTTCCCCAACAAGGGGGGCAGGGGTGGGCAGGGGCTTGGGGAGGGTGGTTCAGGGTAGGGGAAGCCAAGGGTGGGAAGAGGGTGGGGTGGGGTGGGGGTGCTCTTGGGTTGTGTCTGTGACCGTGACTGCGTAACTGTGACTGTGCAGCGCCCGTGGTGATCTGGGGTAGGGGGCACCCCTACAATGGGACCCCTCCCCCACTATTTTTCCTATCCAGCCCCTCCCTCCCACTGGAGAAGCTCCAGACCCATCCCTCAACCTCATGATCCCTCCCAGCCAGGGTAAGAAGATGTGAGGTGGCTGGGAGGGTCTCCAGGCCCCCTACCCCATCCCCAGAAAGGGGGTGGTGGAGTGGACTTACCCGGCCCAGCCCTGCCTCCCTCAATCAACCCAGCCTTTGGGTCGTCTGTGTCAGTGGTTTCCGGTCTTTTTTTTTTTTTTTTCCTGGCTAAAATATTTTGTAAAAGACCAGGTAATTGGAGACAGGAGGGGGCAAGGGGGAAACACCCCCTTCTCCTCTAAGACAGGTGGTGTGAATCTTCTTCAACAGCAATTAAAGAGGAAGTGATTTTGTCTAGGGGGCGAGTTGCTGATCTGTTCGTGAAGAGGTGGGTCAGGGAATGGCCTTGGTCAAGGTGGAGAACTGGAGGGGGAAGGGCCACCCCAGCAGTGTGTGTCCTGCTGTGGCTGGTGGCAGGGCATCCAAGGGGTCCAAGGGCACCGAGATGGTAGGTCAGATACTTCACTGCACAGCAGTTCTGGGTTCATGCAGGAGAAGGAGACAGGCAAGTTAGAGAGCAACAGTGGGGATCCAGGGAGCAGAGAAGTCACTGACTTCCAAATGGCCCCAGTTCTGGGAAGGAGTTAGGGTGTGAAGTTTAGAGGAGAGGACAGGGAGAGGGGCTGCTTGGAGAAGTGAGAAGATGGGATAGTTTGGGTTGAGAGCAGGAACTTTGGATCTGATTTAGAAACTAGGCCCTCCACTTCATAGCCAGGTTGCCTTGGGCAAGTTACCTGGGTCGTATCTGTTGGGCACCTGGTAAGGTCTCCAGGGCCAGCCCCTGGAAGACTGTCCCAGGTTAACCTGCTCGCCTTGAGCACCTGACCTGGTACCAGTAGTAGAGCTTATTACAGTACAGGTCCTTTTCTTGGTTAAGAGGGAAGAGGTGTAAGATCTCCTGGCCTCAGAGGTCCTTGATGTTCATGAACTCCATGTCCAGCCAACGCAGGTATTAGCCCACTTCCATATAACCCACGGGGCCACTGGGGCCACAGCATCCTGTGGCCAGTGCTGCCTTCAACAGCTGCAGCACCTCCTGCTTCAGCCGGTAGACAGTCCTGCTGCTCATTCCTCAGGTGCAGCCAGAAGTGCTTTCCCTGGGAGAGGACTGGGTGGGGTGGTGCTGGGATAGTGGCCAGTGCATGATGGGCTCAGCCACCCATGGGTTACCCTCCCCCTTGAGGAATCAGTCAGTGGCCCGTGTCTTCCAGTAGAGTTGGTGCCAGGCCTCAGCCCTCCGAGGGACATTCAGCAGCAGGTGAGCCACCAAACTAACTAGGTGTGGTTGCAGCAATGGGCCCAGGCCTCACTCACATGGAGCCCTGGTTCTGCAGGATCCGAGGCTGGGTGACCGAACAGCAGAGCAGACTAACTGAAGAAAAGGTGGATTCAGGGGTGCAGTGAAGCAACAGATGCAGATGTAGGTGTGTGGTCTGGGAAGGCAAAGTGAGAAGAGGGGCAAGTAGCCAAGAAGACTTATCTAGAAGACCTGGCCATTCCCCCTTGCAGCTCAGAGACACTGGATTCCCCCACTTCATCTCCTTCCCTTCTTGGTGGCAAAAGCTCATTCCCTTCCTCAGAAGGTTGAGAGCATGGGGAGGAAACAAGCATCCTGGGGAGAATGGAACTGGCACAGGGAACCACAGGCCTGGGGAAGTCCACAGGCCACTGAAAAGGAGGGTATCGGCAGCCCCGTAGCAAATCCCAATAATGAGTATTCCACAGGATTCTTGTTTTCATAGGCTGCATCTTTGGCCTGGCTGGAGATGTAAAGCATGGTTGTGGACGGGTAACAAGGCATCAAGCCCCCCAGGTGGCTGCAGCATAGGGCTCCAGAAGGGGGCTCTCTGTGGGGCTAAAGGAAACCTGCTACCTTCCCAGCTTGCCTTGGGTGTCCTTGCCTAGATTCTGGCTACCATCCACCTTCCTCCTTCCCACCGCACCTGGTTGCCATCTGCCACACCCCCTGCTCCTCTCCTTTTGTTTGCCTTAGCACAGCTGGGGCAGACTAAACTCCTCCAAGGGGTTTTCACCAAAAGCCAAAGTAAAAAGAAATTTCTTATTAGAAGTATTATACAAATGATTAAATCTGGTGAGGATTCCAGGACTTGTTTTCTGATAAGATTCCCTCCGTATCAAAGATATCCCTCTTGTCCCAGCTTCTCTCTACCCTCCCGTCCTGCAAGACGCTATTGTAACTTCTGATCAACTTTTGGGATTCCCTCTGGCCTCCAAGTACCACCTAGGTCTCCCCAGAACTCCTGTGCCCTCACTGTGGGCCAGGGACTGGGCTAAGAGCGTGACACATACTATCTCACTCAATTCTCACAACCACCCTATGAGGCCAGTATAATTACCCATAATTTACCCACGAGGAAACAGCACTTGAAAAGCTAAACATCTTGTTCAAGGCTCTTCTGGTGGTAAGAGGGGTGAGGATTTGAGCCCAGAATTCTGACTGCAGCTGCCCTTGAAGCCATGTCTCAGATCTTGCACAGGTGAAGCATCCCTCTCTTTAAGATATAGAAACGGATCTGGGTAAGCAGGGTTTTATACATCTACCCATTACATTTCTCAATTAAACAACTTAAGCATAACATGCACAAAAAGTACACAGACAGCAAGAAGAGGGTCAGTTTCACACAACCTCCTTCAACAATAATGAATCTCACTTTCCACCTTTGGAGACCTGGAGTTGCATGCCCTCCAGCTATTTTCTTACCTTGGAAGTCAGTGGAGAGTCTTCAGCGGGAAGGCTATACGCTCAGAGACAGGGAGAAAGAGGAGAAAGGAGGGGTTGGGGAAATCCACGTCTGCACTTGGCAGTGAGGAAGAGATAGAGACACCTCCCCAGGCCCACCTGCCTTTGGCAAACTAGGAAGCTAGCCTGTGTGGGCAGCAGCTCTCTCTCTGGGCACAGCCAAAGGTAGAGGTCTTCCCTGGGAGATGCTGCGTGGTGCGGCCAGGTTGGGGCGGGGTGTGGCAGGCAATGGGACTTGCAGCATGCTGCAGGGAGAACTCAGTGGAAGGAAGCGGGGCGCATGGTGGGCTAACACCGTGGTGTGCGTCTTCGTTTTCAGGATGTAAAAGGGGAGAAGGGAAGGGACAGAAATGGACAGATGGGGGAAAGGAGGGAGGACAGGACTTGTAGGTGTTTCAGTCCTTGCCAGGCCAGTGGGCTGGCTGGCTTATCTGCCCTGGTCTCTTCCTGTAACCCAGGCTCCCACAGACACTGCCTGGGAGGAGCGGAGGACAGAACGGGGTGAGACGGTGCCTTCTACCCTGAGGAGAGCACCAAGCTTCCTCCCTGAGCCCCCACCCCACCTACCCACACCCTAACCCCCCCGCAAAAAAAAAAAAAAAAAACGTTGATGGAGTGATGGTCCAGTTCTTTATTTAGAAACCTGATTGTTCAAGAACATGAATGGTGGGTCTGTACCCCACCTTTTTTAGTGGATTGTGTCAGAGATGGTGGGCAACTTCCTCCCATTTCCTCAGCAACTGAGGAAGGTGACTCAACTCAGAAGCACAGACTGTATGGAACAGTGTGGAAAGGGAAAGGGGCAGGAAATCCCAGGCTAATCCAAGGGAAGGGGGTAGGTGACTCCCAGCAGCAGCAGGGGCAGGGGCCTGTCTCTTAGGGCCTGCTACACAGCACACCCTTCCTGCTCCCCCTGCTCTACTCCACTCCAAAGACCTCCAGGTAGGGAGGGAACAGGGACCACCAAGTTCGAGGACCTAACAGGGAGGGGATGTGGGGAGAAGCCTGGGAGTACAGAACTCACAGGCCTGGGGTGGGCTTCAGGGAAGCTCTCAGCAGTAGCAGCAGCACTACCCCACAGCCCCCCACGCCCCTGGCGGGGGCCCGGAAAGTCCACAGCCAGCTCTACTACGATCTTTTTGCTTTCAGGGTCCCAAGGGGTGGGAGACGGATGGGGAAGCAACGAGGCCAGTCTAGGAAGACCCTGGACTCCTTGCGAACTGATGGTAGTAGTGGTCTCAGAAGTCAAACTCGTCCAGGTCCCCCGTGCCGTCCCCGCCTCCAGAGCCCCACACCCGGCGGTAATTGCTTTCCAGGTCTTTTTGTCGCTGCCGCTCCTTCTGTGCCTCTTCAGCTCCCTGTACCTGGTGAGGGGTGCATGGGGTGAGCTGGAGTGCTGGCTGGTGAGCCCAGGGGAGGACGGGGCGCTGGAGGATCCCGGAACTAGGCGCATGGGGAAGGAGGGAGGGGCACGCACACTTCATACAGGGCTCTTGCCGAGCGAGGGCCCAAACACTCAGCTGCCCGAACCACCAGCCTCTCTTATAGATGAGGAAACTGAAGCTCCGAAACTGGCAAGGCCGGGACATACCTGTGTCACTCAACCACGCTCTCAACAACACAGCACACGGGAGGAGGGGGCGGGCTGGAGGTCCAACACTTGGGGATAGGATGCCTCTCACCAAGATATTGAAGAAAATCTCCTTAAGGTTTCTTGTGTCCTCATCAGTCAGCCAGCGTGCATCCTCCTCAGTCCCTTCGGCCCCTGGTCGGACAATTTTGATCTCAATTTTCCCTGGAAAGAAGTGGGATGGGCAGTGAGAGGAGAGGGAGCGGGGAGCTTCAGGGCAGGTCCTCTGCCCCCCAGGTGCCCAGCCGAGGTTTCCAGTCCACCTTGACCCAGCCCCTCCGCTTCCAGCAGCAAGCCCTTCC